ATTTGCTGGGCAAGGTATGGTAGAAGGCAGAGAGAGAGAGAGGAAGAGAGTGAGAGAGAGAGAGCAAGGTGCGAGAGAGCGAGAGAGAGCGAGAGAGAGAGAGAGTGAGAGAGGGAAAGTGAGGGAGAGCGAGGGCGAGAGCGAGCAAGATGAGAGAGAGAGAGAGAGCGGGGTGGGAGAGTGTGAGAGAGAGGGCGAGAGAGTGAGAGAGAGAGAGAACGCCATAGACGTCCTCGTTTCCAGGTGCTGAACTTCTTCCTCTTCTGCTTACTATCCGAAGATTTCCGAAAGCGTGTCCAGATAATGCTACGAAAATACTCCAAAACCCTACGGCACTATCGACCTGCTTTCATGTAAATATCCCGTCGTATTCGGGCTGTATAAATGTATTTAACACGATTCACGCTTCCAACCAGCGAGATAGATGGGCTTGTTGTTCAGTTTCATAATTTTCGTTTTTATTCTACTCATCAGAGACAGCGGGTCCAGATTGTTGACCGGATATTGGCATAACATGGTGTTTTAGAAATTCCGGCCCGTGTTTAATCTTTTCCTTTTATGTTTTTTTAGATGTTGGGTGGGCAAGCTTTTTCAAAAAAAAGCAATTTATGTGGCACATGATGATTACATTATTGGAAAAATCCGCAATTACCGAAAATTGATCGTGGCGTGCTCAATACTTGTCCATTCGGGTCACATTCTGGCTCATCGTGGGTTCGTCGTTGGCCGGGAAGTACGACGGGGCACGCACCTGGAAATTTGGAGATTACGGTAATACAGTAATGATTGCTACGTTTTTCTACGCTCAGAAAACGCAAATAGAACTAAGCGTTTACCCTCTATTAAAAAAATCTAAATGGCCCGAACCAGCAAAAAAAGTAAAAATTTATTTAAGGAGCCAAAATATTGTTAGAGCCATATCTTCTACAGTAACCTTTTCACTGATTCCTAGTCCCTGTAAAATCTCATAAATTGACGTACCGATTCCTTGGCCCTCTCGTGGGCGGCCTCCCAGGGGCTCAGGTTGTGCAGCTTCTCGGGGTGGTCGTGGCCGAAGACGTCGTCGATTTTCTCCTTGATCTGCAAAAGTCTGTATAAATATACGCAATCTCTATTTCTGGCCCTCTCTATTCCCGGCTTTTTTTTGTAACTTACCGTATCCTTGCAGTCATGGACGACGTCCTTCACCTTGTGCACGATTCCGGGCATGATTAGCGTTGGTTGGTTGGGTTGTTATAGCTGGAAATTCAGACATAGCAAAATAGAGAGGGCGAGAGCGAGAGAGAGGGGAGAGAGAGGGAGAGAGGGAGAGAGAGAGAGAGAGAACGAGGGGCCGTGAGAGAGAGAGCACGAGAAAAAGCTAGAGAAACGTTGGACGAAAAGGATAGGGCGAGATATATCCAGAAAGCTATAGTAAGTTGAGCCTAGAGACAGAGAGAGTCAGAGGAAACTGACAGAGAGAGAGAGCGAGAGAGAGAGGGAGAACGGTAGAGCGAAAATCCGAGAGAGAATTCATGTTATATTCAAAACCCAGAATTTAGCAACCGCTGACCGCGCCGAATGTTTCAAATGAAGAGCAGAAAACGCATACTCAAACTTCTAAATCCCCCTTAAATCTAATTACTGGGTTTGTGATATGATTTATATAATTTAACACTCACCAGGGTTGAAAAGCCGCTTCGCGGCTTTTCAACCCTGGCCCCGTCTGACCCCGTTTTATCCTTCACTTTGCATAATTTTCCTGAATTCAGATGACAAAAAATGAAAAACTACCTTTTAAACCCTTTATATAGTCGAATCCCCACTTCCGGTCTACGCTAATTGTTCCTAACAAAGATGTTTTTACAAAAACTTAAATTTAATGTTGAAAATAGGTGATTTTGTTAAATCTGATATGCGTGCAGTCATCTCCAGGCCATTACGCATCTAATGACGTATCATACATACCTTAAAATTCATCCCCTATCGAGATATCCTCCGGACAGCCATCCGGAAGTGGATGCAAAGTGGCACACACAGACACACACACACAGACACTATTTTTTTATATATAGTAGGATTTTTGGCAAAATAGCGTGCTAAACAAAATTTTAGCAGATCACGATTCTCGACGATATTGTTGCTTGCCAAAAACCTACCAAAAATATGAAATATGGAGAAAACGGCTTGGAACAAAACAAAGCGTCGCTTAAAAGTAAAAAAAGTTTGGAGTAAGCTAAGCTAGGTAAGTAAGGCAACTAAAGCCAGAAAACCTCAGGAAGAGCTGGGAGAAGTGCGGCTTTTCCCCATCCAGTCCCTCTATTTATGCCACAGGGGGAGGTTGTTGACAAGTCTAGAAGAGCGCGAGGAGGCAAAGAGAGGACGAGAAGAAGGAGAGGGACAGACACAGACCGACAGAGAGAGGATAAGGACACGGGCCCTATGCTAATGGCAAAAATATGTTTTCGCCGCCCCGGATGCCCCCATCTCCGTGCCGTTGACGACGATATCCTGTGTACGGTCTATACCAAATTGCGCCCACAAGCAACATGAGGGCATCATCGTTTTTCTTGTAAAAAAACAGTCTGCCTTCCAAAGAGACGTCAACAGGAAAAGCCAGATGTTTGGATATGGTCTAAGCGTCTAGAATTCACTTTAGAAGCCTCTGGAAGTCAGAACTTGAAGATTTTTATCAGGTAGCCTGGTGAAATTCTCTGCTTCGGAACCCAGAATCACTCTAAGACTGCTAATTGTAATTTTCTTGGATACCTAAAGGGGCCGCGAAGGTCGTTCGAGCGTTCCAGCCAAGTTAGGCTGTTTTTCGTTGCTTTTTCTGGTTTGAGCGTATTAGACAGAGAAAACTCCGCCATTTAGACCGGTTACGCTGCCAAATTAAGAATCCCTCTATAAACACAATCTTATAGGCTACTTTACGTTATATAAAAGCTATTTTAAAGGAATTCGAGAGGCAGCAAGGACACCTTTTCCGCTCTGGGAAAGAGTCAAGTTGAATTTCCACGCCTAAATGGGTTCAGAAACGCTACTTTCCGTTTCCGATTGATTACGCTATAATTCGCAGATTGACTTACACTCAAGTAATGCACCATAAAAGTTTGATCGCGAAATGTTTTGCAAAGCAGGAAATTGTCTTATTGGTGCCTCTTTCACGCACTAATAGAGTTCCCACAGCGGCCCGGCTCCTAATAAAACGTCCGGTAGCTTTGGAAATGACGGAAGACCGCAACCCCCGCGATAGACACGTCGCGCGACTACGAAAGCAGGCCTGCGCAGCTAAAAACCGGTTGCTGTTCCGCGCACCCGCACGCAACGCGCGAAAAACACGTACAGTACGCCCTTTCCCTTGAACCATCTGGACCGAACCCATGGGCGGTTGTTTTCCTAAGCCTAATTTCCTAGTGTAATCGGTTGGCTAACACAGATTTGTTTGGCTAACTACTTTAAAGCGACTTTTATGTAGCGATTTGGAAAGAGCATCGCGGCCAATTTTAGCATTCTAAAAACACCCCTTTGAAAAGCGACTAAAAAAGTGCCTCTGGCTTTTCCGGGGGTTAGAGTGCAAGCAACCCTCGCAAAAGTGCATCCAACCCCGGCCAAAGTGCAACCACAAGTCCATTTGCGCAAAAGTAGCCTCCTCTTCAGTACCCCAATATTGTTTCGCCGTGTTTACGCGCGGAAGGAGCACCATGTCGGGGAGTCGTCAACAAGTCTAGAAAGGAGCAATAGGGGCGCATAAAGAGAAGCCGAATAGAGGGCATCATGGGGCCCATAGAAGCGCCCAAATCCGGTAACATCAAAATAAGGGCAAAAAGCTACTCCTCCTCACGCACCCCGCAACAGATCCGAACTCTTGCCGCTTGTTAAAAAGTTAGAGCTAAAGCTATTTGACCAGCGTTGGGAAACACAATTTTTTGGAAACGCAGAGCGTGGCACCAAAAAAGACCAATAAAACAACAACAAAAAAAGGAAAATAGTAAGCTTCCAAGGAACACTACTCCAGCCACACTACCAGCCGAAAGCCTTTGCTGTTCCGGGCCCTTTAAATGGACCGCAACCGTTTAATCGTATCCAAAAAAAACTCGATTTTGCTTGGTAAATTCCACAAAAAAGACTGCAAGCTAGCCAGCTCAAGAAAAGGCCAAAAAGCAAGGTAAATAAGCTCCCGCTATTCATCGAGCCTGAAAATTTCACATTCATTGGCTTCCACGGCCATTTTCTCAAAAAAAGTTTGAAATAGCGATCCTACTATATATAAAAAAATAGTGTCTGTGTGTGTGTGTGTGTGCCACTTTGCATCCATTTCCGTCTGTCTGTCCGGAGGATATCTCGATGGGGGAGGAAATTACGGGTATGTATGATACGTCATTCGGTGCGTAATGGCCTTGAGATGACTGCACACATATCAAATTTTACAAAATCAGCCATTTTCGACATTAAATTTAAGTTTTTGTGAAAGCTCCTGTGTTAGGAAATAATTAGCATAGACCGGAAGTGGGGCTTCGACTATATAAAGAGGTAGAAGCGGTTGTTTTTCATTTTTTGTCATCTGAATTCAGTACAATAATGCAAAGTGAAGGATAAAATGAGGTTAGACGGGGCCAGGGTTGAAAAGTCGCGAAGCGGCTTTTCAACCCTGGTTTTTTTTAATTTTTCTGCGTCTTATTCCTTCCAAAGAAGCTCTGCAGCGCTAGCTTACCAACACTTTACGGGAGTAGAAGAAATCTATGCAAAACCAAGATTGTGCTGTCGATGATATCCCCAAAACTAGCTCGGAAGCACCATTATACCTTTGTAGTTTGTGGTCTTCATTGTATCTTGTAGTCTTTGTAATACCGTATCCATGTAGCCGATAACACTCAAATGTACAAAACCATTTATTACACACCAAATAGGTTTGATTTTCATAAAACAAAACGAGCCGCGGGATTTGTTCGGGTTTTTAACGAGCCGATGTGGTGGGGGGTTCTTAATCGTTTGGACGTCTTCTGGTCGTCGACCGGCTAGCAGTCGGAGTGGCGACGGTGGCGCAGCGTCACATTCGGCGTGTTGACCTTCTCGAAGTCGATGTCGGCGGCCAGCTCAGCGACGGCTGGGCTGACGGCAGGACTGACCACGTCGACCTTCGTCACCGGCACGTCACTGGGCAGCGAAGCGGCGTCCCTGGAAAAAATTGTCCAAAAGATATTGTCCCCCCGATAATACACAAGAACCCGAAAAGTCCGTACCACTCCATGGAGTCGCGCGACGGCTCGAGCTGGGGCGGCGGGAAGTTGAAGGAGGAGCGGGCGCGGACGCGGCTGAGCAGCGGCGAGTCCTTCAGCCGTTCCCAATCGGGGACACGAACCCGCGTCGGAGTCGGGGGCGGGGCGGGCGTCGTGCCCGACGTGTTCAGCTTGATCCCCTGGAACAGGGTCGTCAGCGACTCCTGCTCGTCGGCGCCAGCTGAAAAACATCAACTTCAACAAGTACAGGGAAATTGCAAACTAAGTTTTAGCGGCCATCAAGTTCGATACGTACAGTTGGTGACGTCACCGCGGTGGAGGATGGCGTCGCGGAACCAGCTGGGGGAGAGCGGCGGCTCGGTGTAGAGCGGGAGCTCGGTGTCGGAGTCCCGGGGCGGCGTGCAAACTACGTCGGCCACAGCGCGGAACTGGCCTAAAAGAGACAGGGGAAGTTCAAGCAGCTCAGCTGAGACAGACAGAGAACCGACATTTAAAGCGCCGACAAGCCCAGAAGTCACGTTCAACTACCCACCCATCTTGCCGGTGTCAATGTTGGCCTCCTCCTCGGAGTCCTCCTGCATGAAGGCGACGTTGAGCAGCGACTCGTTGCTGGCCGTGTTCCCGGTGAACGTCTTGTTGTTGTTGTTGTGCTGGATGGCGCTCACGTCGAGGGCGGGCAGCTTCTGCTGCAGCTGCTCCTTGACGTCGGCGTTCGGCTGGATGAAGGCCTTGTTCAGCAGCGACTCGTCGGTGTCGTTGTTGTTCTGCTTCTGAGGCTCCTCCTTGGCATCAACTTTCGGCTGGATGAATGCGTCGTTGAACAGCGTCGTGTTGTTGTTGTTGTTCTTCTGCAGCTCGCTGGTGTCGAACGTCTCGAACTCGGGGTGCTTCTCCTGGCCGGTGGATTTTGGGGTAGAGGACAAGGGGGCGTGAAGAATGCCTTCCGGATCTTCCGAAGCCGTGTCGTAGTCGGAGCCTGAATTTTCACAGGTTAGAGAGAGAGAGAGAGAGCAAGATAGAGAGAGAGCGAGCGAGCAAACTAGCAAAGATTCCTTGCGAAACCCACCATGAATGCTGTCATCCTCTTCATTCTCCTCTTCCTCTTCCTCCTCGCTGTCGTATGACTTGCTGACGACGTCGTCGTCCTCCTCCCGCTGCATCTGCGGCACCGGCTTCTCCGACGACTCCGAGAAGGACACCACAGACTTGGTCAGGGTGCCCTCTTCGACGAGCGGCTCGAGCATGTCGTTCTTCGACATTCGGCGCTGTTTGATCAGCACGAGGGAGTCAATCTAGAGTCCATTTTAAAGGGACATTGAAGGAAAATATCTACGGGCTGGACCAGCGAGCCGAACGTGCCGATGTCGGCCTCCTCGAAATCGAGCTCATGCTGCTGATGTTGCTGCTCTTCCTCCTGCTGCTGCTCTTCCTCCTGTTGCTCCTCTTCCGACTCGGCGCCCTTCGGGGTGCTGCTGATCGGCTAAAAAGTGTGTTTTTTATAGGAAAGCCATAGAGAGTGGCAGCGAGAGAGAGAGAGAGAGAGAGAGAGAGAGAGAGTGACAGCGAGAGAGAGTGACAGAGGGAGAGACCAAGAGAATTTCTTACTCCAGTGCGCAACACATCGAACTCGCTGGGCGTGACCGGCCCGAACAGCTCCTCGGCCGTGACGTTGATCTCGGACATGGACATCGACTGAAACTCGGCCATTTTCGACGGCAGAATCCCCTGACCTTATTGCCAAGGTCGGCGGCGGTGACGTCGAGCTGCCCCTGAGATTCCCTGGTGCTGACGTCGGAGTGGCTGATGTTGATAGACGCCTTGCTGAAGAGACGGCCAGTCAGGGCGCTCCTATCCAGATCCATCTAAAAATGAGGGTATGTCATCGCAATTAGAGGCCGATGACCTTGCTGCCTTCGTCGGCGAGCGTGACGTCGAGCCGGGCCTCAGATTCCTTGCTGCTGATGTCGTGCTCCCCGCCGATCGGAACGGGTGTCTTCGCGAGCTGCTCCAGCATCTAGAAGATGAGGTTGAAATGGGTTTTTGATGACTTTTTAAAGGGACAGACAAGGCAAAGAATTGCAATTTTCCTACCCCGGAATGCTCGACCTCGGTGTCGGTGTAGGAGAGGGCGGTGCGCGAGAGGTCAGCCGGGTGGTTGTCGTAGCCGCTCAAGCCGGTGCTGAACGACGACGTCGACAAGGCCGCGCAGCCGGCCAGCACATCGGCGATGTAGGCAGTCGGACCCTAGAAAAGAATTGTAGTCCGTGAATTCGTCAGCCCGCTGACCTCGCTGATATCGTTCTGCGATTTGGCGGTGACGTCGAGCTGCTCGGCGGATCCCTCCAGGGTGATGTCGCCTTCCTGGGTGATCCTGACGTTGTCATTCGCCTCATGATAAGTGGTAGCGGCCGGGGAGGTCGGCTAAAAAAAGATGTACTCCTTGAGAAGCCCGGGGCTGCTGACCTCCATGATGACGCCGCGGCTGACAAAGTCGAGCTGTTCGAGCAGTTCATCCGGTATCTGCCTGGCGGTCTGGCAGTCACCGATCGACACGGCCGACAGCTGGCGGGCTGTCGGGCAAGCCGACGAGGCCAAGGAAGGCGAGGAGGGGGTACGATCCGTTGGCCCTGCCGATGACGTCGCGGACTGCTCCTGCTGCTGAAGATGATGTTGCTCTAGATCGCTCAAAGCTGCGTGTACCTTGTCGATGACGTCGCCAGTGATGTGAATGACCGGGACGACAGGTTCCCCGTCCTTGGCGGCGAACTTGTCGAACTCGTTGGCCGTCTCGGTGGCGACGACGCGCCGGCTGATGTTCCACCACATCTCTTCCTGGGACGGCTCCGAGGCGCGCGTCTCCTCCATCAACGGCCCCATGGTCATGTGCGCCAGGGCGTCGGCCTGGAAATGAACATGAGAGAGAGCGAGAGAGAAAGAGAGAGAGAGAGAGAGAGAGAGAGAGAGAGAGGGAGAGGGATAGACATAGAGAGAGAAGCAGACGACCAACCCAAAGCAGCCTGCGGCGGTCGTTGAACTTTTTGGTGTTGTCGGTGCTGGTGAGGTTCTCGTGAAAGGTGACCGTCGACGCCGAGTCGTTCATGTCCAGCTTCATGCTGGTCAGGGAGTGGACCGGCTCACGGGGCAGGAGGAGGCCTAAAAAACGAATTTTGTATATCCAGAAGAATCTCTGCTAGATTGCCCTGAATTTTGTTGCAAGGGCAAGCTAGCAGAAAGCATTTAGGAAAGCGCTAAAATTTTTACCTTCCGGGTACAGCTCATCAAGTCGAGCGTGGCCGGCTTGCTCGGCAAGGGTGGCGCGGCGCGGCGAGGCGAAGCTGTTGAAGACGGCCGGATGACGGGCGGCGTTGCGCTGAAAAATACAAATTTGAAGAGAGCGTGAGAGCGAAAGCGAGAGAGTGCGAAAGAGAGAAATATGCAAATTGCAAAACGTACCGGCACGCGGACGCAGTACTTGCTGGGCGAGGGCATCGGGCGCTCCATCGAAGACGAAGTGATGGTTTTTTTGGAGAAATCGCCGCTTTTTGTACTCGGAAAACCGGAAGTGTATTCAGTGCATAAATTATGCAAATTTGCTTTTTTAAGATTTATGCAACTTGAGATCATGTTAGCGAAAAAGAGGGGAGTCAGCTATGGTGGTGAGGGAGAGCGAGAGATAGCGGGAGAGAGATAGAGAGAGAGAGCAATTTCCCGGTGCACAACACATCAACCGCTCCGGACGCTAGCGATAGTGAGCGCGAGAGAGTGCGAGAACGAGCGATAGGTATCACGATAGAGCGAGACAGAGAGAGAGAGAGAGCGAGTGAGAGAGAGCTAGAGAGAGAGCGAGAGAGAGCGAGAGAGAGCGAGACAGAGAGAGCGAGACAGAGAGAGAGAGAGAGTGAGAGAGTGCCGCGACAGTCTTCAAAATGCAATACGAAGTTCTTTTCTCGCATTTCCTCACTTTTTTGCCCGAAAAAATATTTATTTCCAGTAGCGATAAAAATACAGCAATGCCATTCCGTTGCAAATTTTCCCGTCGACTCAAAAATTCTGCGACGAATGCTGGCAATAGGAGCTGAGTGTAGCCGGCATCTGGGTCGAGTACGCGGCATGACGGCTTGATGTTTCTAAAAGTGTTTGAATAGGCAAGTTGTGATGGCTGCCAGGCTCATGCTCTGAAATTTTTTTGAGAGATCGCTAGAAAATCCAAGTTTGCAGTACCTATCTTTTGGCCCAGCACCCGGTGGTGGAATTCCTTGTTGAAGAAGATGGCGATAAGGCTGAAATTTGGAAGATTAAAATTAGTTGATTTAACGTGAAAAGCAACATAAAAGTGGGAGCAGATATTTCTTTTACTCTTTTTAACGAGAAGGGATCGGCCATCGCTTCCATTAGGTCTGGACTTTAGGGTATGCCGGTTTGAAAGGGACCAGGAAGCGCTTGAATCCACCCCCACAAGGCACTAGGTCTTGACAGCTGCGCACCAATTAAAACTACAAGTTTTTTTTTATTCTGAGGGCAAATCCCTGACACCTAGGAAAAGGAGGCGATGTTTTTTTGGGAATGCTGCGTAACTGTCGACACCTAGTAACAAAAGTGGTCGATTCTTGCACTTCCTAGTACTTTTAAAAACGCTAAATTTTTAATTTTGCTCACCCATCCAGCGCATGAACGCCAATCCAAGATAAGGTAGTCAACGCAAATTTTCCCATCTTGATGTCCACGAAGTTGGCGAGCACGAAGAACGTGAGGAGCTCGAGGATGAAGATGAAACCCTGGAGGCAGGACTGAAAAGAAAACTTATATTTTCCGGTTCTACGAAAGTCCATAAATTAAGTCGCGCATTAATGAGAAGGAGACGCTCAGTCATTTTATGGCGGCTAGATGCCTCAAAGCGTCTCTGCTAGCTTGCCTTCGAAAATTGCTCCAGACGGCATATATATCCCTTTTGACTCCTCGAAGCCCTCGCCTACCTGCGTCACAAAGTTGATCTCGTTCCGCTTGTGAGCCCTAACTTGAGCATCAGCGATCGTGGAAAGAAGCTGGAAACACTGGATTTTTGGCGTTTCTACAGCAACCCACATGATTGCCATGGAGTCGGCACTTCACAAAAGTGATCATATCCAAGCCGACGATCACGAACACCGTCGCCACGCTTTTCACGAAATCGTAGTACCTGCAAAAACAAACGTGGTTTTCTTGACTGTAAAGCGAATAGAAGGGGCAAGACGCCAAGGTCTTCGCAAAAAATGTCGGCTTTTTGGGAATTCGAAGAAACGAATCGAGCCTCGTTTTTTCTAAGAAATGATACAAATGCTTTAAACTCTGGCCGGTTATTTTCGTAAAAAAAGATCTTACGGTATTTTTGAGAAACCCGGCAATCTACCGTATCGAAAATTGTTTTTTTGGAAAGTCGACAATTAAAATTTTAATTTTCGACCTTTTGGTATCCCTAGAAATCAATACTTACCAAGAAACTACATTGCAAACTGGGCTTACGGTGAACGTGTAGCTCCAGAGCTCCTCGCTGTAGATGAACCGGCAATCGACTGAAAAATCGCGTTTTTTGGGTTTTAAAGGGTTGGTCACAGGTTCCGCAAGAGTCTCTGCAAGCTGCTACCTAAAAGTCTTTTATTTTTAGCGTAAGTTGTAGAGGAACGGCAACAGATTGAAAACTCACCAATTCTATACGCTAGTATACTCGGCCAAAACGCGATCATCCAACAGAAGACGTTGATCTTGGCGACGTTTTTCTTGGAGAATAATCGGGGGTATTCCATAGGGAAGAAAATGGAGCAGACACGGTTGATCGAGACGAACAGGTGGCTGAAATCTATTGAGTTTTAAGGCTTTGTCAAGTCTAAACATGGCCTTTTTAGTGGTTGACAGGTGAGCGTGGCGTAGCGAGTTTTTTGAGTTGTTGTCAAGATCGTGTCAAGAAGTTTTTGACAGGACTTGGTTTTTTTCAAGATAGTGACAGTTAAAAATCAAGTTTTCATTCCCGAAAAACCGCGAATTAATGGAGCGCTTTGTAGTGCTTAACACACTAGAAATATTATCCTTTTTAGAGGCACAGCGACACAATTCAGAAGACCCACGGTACCTCGCGTTACAAGCATCGTAGCAGATCAGCTGGAAGTGGCCGACCAGAGCTGATAATTCAGGGTTGTCCCACGATTTTAGATCACTGAAAATCTTGTGTTCAGTCGTTCTCGCCCTCTCTCTCTCTCTCTCACTCTCTCTCACTCACGCTCTCTCTCTCTCTCTTTCTATCTCGAACCACTACCGTAAACCTCAGTACCGGTCGGAACATTTTTTCCTCTGGAACCTTCAAGCAGTCTTTACCACTTTCCCAATGCCCTAATGGGATCTTTGAAGCACTTTGCATAAAAACTGCATGTGGGAAGTTCATTTAATTGGGAAAATTTTCCTGGTACTCCGAAACAGAGCGAAAATGGAACCCGAAAGGCGAGAGAGAGATAGAGAATGAGAGAGAGAGAGAGAGAGAGAGAAAGATATAGAGAGCATGCGAAATAATTTTTGACTTACAACATCAACATCGGTGCCATGTAGAGGAAGAAACCCCAAGCGTGGAGAAAATCAGCGGTCGCCTGGTTTCGTGTCAACCGCCCGAAAGCGTTCTAGAATAATCGATAGTATAAATTTGGTATTTTTAAACAATATCTACCTTGAAATTAGTTAATTTTTTTACACCGATCCTCCCAAAAAAAACCCTTACCTGCATGGACGGTAACCTCGAGATCCAGAAGATGACCATCCCGTTGGCAATTATGCCGACAAGAGAGGCCTGAAAATTACGAAAAATCGGGTGCTCACTTGATTTCTTGTTTTTCGTTCATTGCGAATTTTTGAGGTTTTTTTACATACCAGAAAAGCCAAAAAGCCGGCAATCTGCGCCTGGGTGACCATTTCCGGAAGTTCGAGGGTCTCGTTGAAGAATGGCATTCTGAACCTTTTCAAAATGGAGAACCCTTGAAGCCACAGAAAACGTGTCCGATAATGAGCAGATCGGAGTATTGAAAAGGTCTTAAAGAGATAGGCACGGCATAAGTCAATCGATTACGCGAGGGAAAGAAAATGTCTCTGCGCCTCTCCCCTGGGAGCCCTCTCTCGCGCGAGATCGCCGCGGGACCTGTTGAACCCCCCCCCCCTCCCCAAGGGGGGTTCAACAGATGCCGTCCTCATCTCTTTAAGGAAGTTAACATCATTTTGGTGTACAGGGTGTCCCAAAAAAATCGACCCCCCTCTAGCGGACCGCAGAAAGCTCGGATCGGAATGATTTTCACACCATTCGAAAGCCCTTCAAACGGTGAGAAAACAAGCGCCTTTGGTTTTCCAAAAAATTTTAGCCTTCGCTCGATATTCAATAATTTCTGTAAAAAGCGTAAAACCAGCATCGTCCTGTTTGCTTTAGCAAGCAATTAACATGCCGATTTTGCATAAAATCTGCAGTTTTCATCGATTTTGGCCCTAAATTTAATGAATTAAAATTCCTATATTGAAAAACGAAAAGTGCTTGTTTTCTCGCCTTTTCGAGTGCTTTCGATAGATATCTAAATCGTCAAAATCGGACATGACTGCGGCCCGCTAGAGGGGGGTCGATTTTTTTGGGATTACCTGTACTAAGAATAAATTCCCCTTGGGCGGCAACGACAAATATCGCTTTCCTAAAAATGAATGAGTCCTATGTATTTTCATACACAGCCAAATTCCCAAGTGATACCTTTTGGAAGTGAATTGTGAAGTGAATCGATACGGAAAAACATAGGATACGGTAGTAACGCGAATTACTTTCTTCGCTCTCGTATTTTCGAGCATCGCGTAGCTGTCGAGACCCAGCTGGTATAAGTTCAATAATATAAGTAATTTTCAGGGCTTTTTTTTAAGCCCTTCCAGATTGTAACAAAAAAATTGCCCGGAATTAAAATTATTGTGTTTACATGGCCAGCTTTCCGGCTCCAAATTCCGGAGCAGCGCGCAAAGATTTGTGGTATTTTGAATGCCACCACTGGCCCGAGTATTACGTGGATTTCCTGTCAACACACTGATCTGCGTGGGAAGTCTGTGCTTCTACCAGGCTAGTTAGAGGGGGAGCAACACGACGCCCGCTAGACTCGACGCGAAAGGTGTAGGCTGGATCCAGACAGCTCAGACTACGATACGAATTACTGGAAAATATAAGCCATTTAAAAATTCATTTATTGCACGCGATTATGGATTTTTTGGACTCCACTTGCCTTTAAAAACTACAAAATATAGCTATTTGAAGTGTAGGTTTCAAAAAAACTGTACTAACTTAGGCAATTCTAAGATAGTATTCTTAGTTCTGGTTTGTTAGCGGGGGGGGGCAGGAGTTTATCGGAGGCGGAGGCGACTCCCTTCGCCCTTTCCCAGTGCTTCTATGCCCCCCGCTAACGAACCAGAACCTTCTCTGTATCCAACCCGATGTACATCCGTTAATTATTTGTTTTTAGTAAAACGTAGTCTTTAAGTTTGGTATGTGCTAGAGATGGAAAGCGAGAGAGAGAGAGAGACAGAGTAGGAGAGAGAGATAGATCTTCTAGATAACACAAAGGTCTTATTGTAATTAATAAAAGACTTGATTTTTCCAAGATGCATTTTTTTGTAATTTGTAATGTAATGTGACCAGAGCACAGAAAGCACCTTGGACCTACCCCACGCTTTAATTCTTCCGGGATTTTGCTCCGGGCTGCAACAAACAGCTGTGGGATTTGCCTGAACAAAGGCAGTTGTTTGTGGCCAAAATTCAGGATTTTCGAAAAAATATGTAAAGTTCCGTAGGGCCGGCAATAGCTGGAAATCACCCGTGGAAGAAGTTTGCACAGATTCTTTGGGAATTCATAGGCAGGCTAGCAAAGGTTCTTGGCGACGTGCGCACAAGAGAACGACAGGAGCGTGAGAGAGAGACAGAGTGAAGAGTGAGAGAAAGTGAGGGAGTGAGACAGAGAGAAGAGGGAGAGAGAGAGTGAGAGAGACGGAAGAGAGAAAAAGTGAGAAAGTGAGAGAGAGTGAGACAGAGAGAAGAGAGAGAGAGAGAGAGAGAGAGAGAGAGAGAGAGTGTGAGAGCGATACCCCTATAAATCAAATCTAATGTCTAAGCTCTTCCAAGATCTCTAATTTATGTACTTCCCAGCCCTCAGCGATCCATTAAAAGGCGGTGCAAAATTTATAGCGTGGATAAAACATTCTAGCGGGAAAGAGCAGTACTCGTAAATTGACCCTTTTAGAACTCGGGAAGGGCCACTCATCTGTAATCTATCATTATGAAAGTGGACACCCAAAAACGTCAGAAAAAAAAGTTGATTGGTTTTGAGAAGGCTCGTAAAATATCCTTAAAAATTCATCAGGTTTTTTGTGATCCTAAACTTTGTTTTGTCATACATTAGGCAATCTTCTTTTGAGTAATTCCTAAAAAATGGTGATATTTTCAGCCCTTCAGTGACCCAATTCTTCCGCTGGAATACGTCAAAACGCAAAGTGCAATGCATCCAAGCGAGATACTGTAGTGTAGTAATTCTACTTATTTATGCATTTTATTGGAAATGGTTGGCCTGGGAGAAGCCGAGTGCCGGGGTGGCGTAGTCGAAGAACGTGCAGTAGGCACGGAGGAACGGGTGGCCGAGGCGGATCTGACAACTCGGATTTAGTGGTTAAAGGGACTGCAAGGCCATTTTTTCGCAAATATTAAAATTTCAGGAACAGCCGCTGGGCCTTACTAAGGTATCTTCGTATTGATCTCCCGGCGTCTAAGCCTAGATTATACTTTCGGCTTAAGTGCAGTTCCCCCCAGCCCAGCTCCACAGCCATACGTCCTATTAATGCGCCGAGTATCTTAAAATATTCGCCGTGGTCGAAAATCTCGAAAAAAGTTGTTTACTTGCGCCAAAAATTGTCAAAAAAAATTTTTACACGATTTCGAAAGTTGAAAAGATTAAGCCGCTATGCTTCAATGTACCAGGAGTCTCAAACTCAAATATTTTTATTTTTCGATATTTTTCGACTCAAACGTACTGTAGGCTTATTCTCCAGACCAAGAGCTACATTTTGGTACTATTGACAGCTCTGTACGACCAAAGATGGTCGAGATACGAAAGCTCACTTTGGAAAAGCAAAAATTAACTAAAGAAACCCCAGACTATAATTGTCGTAAAAAATTTTTAACAAGTTTTGGCGCAAGTAAACAACTTTTTTAGAGGTTTCCGGCCACGGCGATCATTTCGAGATACTCGGCGCACTAATAGGACTTATGGCTGCGGGGCTGGGCTGGGGGAAACTGCACTCTAACCATACTTTCTATGGGGCTTTAAACCAACTTCACTGATTCATCCAACTTTTACAACTCGGAAGAATCCGTTTGCTTCGGCGAATTCGACTGTAAGATTTCGAGGGCATTCCAAGGAATGAAACGATGTACGTCACGGCTTCGAATTTTTAGATTTCGGTTCTTTGATTTTTGGTTTAGGTGGAAGATTCATGCGGAAGATGTGCACTTCATGGTTTGATAAACCCCAAATTATTAACGAGCATTTCATCAACCATTTTTGGCGACTTTAACATGAGTAAAAACAGGTTTTTTCCTGTAAAATGCAAATGTGAAAAATTCGTGAAAGAATTACTTGCGGTCCATATCGGGTCTGGTCCCAGACGGTATTTTCGTTGAAGAGCAGCTCACACTTTTGGGAGTTATTCCACTGAACCGATTTTAAGGTGCTTATGCCGTAGAAGTACCGATTCTGAATATTCCCTATATCCAATGTTGAATTTCTGGTTGTTGATGGTGAACTGGATCTCGGGGAGGAAGACGGTTTGCGAGCAGGGGACGTAGTACTGAAATGGAATCGAGTCGAATGGTTCTCTCTCCTTCTCTCTCGCTCTCGCTCTCTCCCTCTACCTCTCTCTCTCTCTCGATCTCTCTCGCCCTCCCCGTTTTTATGGTAAAGACTGACCGCCTTCATGACGCTATCGTAAACTCCTCCAACAGCTTGAGCAATGAAAGCCAACTGGGCTTTCGGGAACAAAATCTGCCGGCGAGCCGTGTCGATCCGGGCAATGTTCGACTTTCCGCCCGTCTGGTTACCGAATGCCCACCTAAAAAAATTATGTATTCGATTTAGTGATGGAAGAAGCTTTGTTAAACTATTGTTACCACCTTAAAGCGCAAAATCTCCTCAAATTTTGTAAAAACCACGAAAATATAGAATTTTCTAGCAAAAATGATCAATTCAGGCCAAGTTTGAAAAACGTAAAAGTTTATTTAAATAGATTCACCACTCCAAATACAGTAAGACTTTGGGAAAACCACGATGAATGTTAGGTATAGACTGTTAAATACAAGACTCACCCCTGAATGCCGAATTCCCAAGCCAACTGCGAGGTGAGGGTGACGTTGACGATGGTGTCGGTCTGGCAATTCCTCGCATCGTAGTCTCCCACCGTCAAGTACCCTTTGCCGTTAGGTTGAGCGAAACTAAACGAGGTAGTGGAGGTTAAAGTTTAGGGAAAATCGCTAATAGCCGCCTTCGCTAATCCAAAACTCACTCATCCACCCATAGCGTGACGACACTGGGATTCTGGGTGTTGGATGGGTAGAGTTTGGTAAGATTCGCCATGAACGAGTCACCCAAGGCCCCGGATTTCGGCAGACCAAGTCCCAGAAAACCGTCAGCAGTCACGGCCGACCAATCTCCAATCGTCTAAAAATTGCAGTTGCGTTTAACCTATTAGAAAAATATTTTAAGGTCTTAAAAATTAACCACAAGGAAAAACGAACCCATACAGTATTTATTTTCTCTGCAATTGTTAGGTTTTCAATACCTTTTATGGAAAAATATAGTAAAAATGACCTACCCGTTTAGCCGTCGCGAATTGAAGTGGCATCTGGAAATCAGTGATGGAGACCGAGTCGTTAAATTGGTCGGCATAGGATTGGAAGGCATCATTTTGATACAGGTAGCCGACACCGAGGCTGCTGCCCGTTGACGATTTTCTACAAAAAATCCATTCTCAAGATACATTTTTGGTGCCAAATAAGCCGCAAAAAGCGCAAAATTCACTATCGAAATTCACTTACGTGTAATCATACGTTTTCCTGGTGTAATTCTGGGACGAGTCGTCGGTGCAACTCGTGTGGTTATCGTACTAAAACTACAACTTTTGGCGTGCAGACTCCGAATTACCGTGCAATCGATATCGATGAGAATCGTGTCCGAGCTCGTGCTGTCGAGCTCGAGGTTGACGGTTTGGCCTAAAAAAAACGATAAAAGAAACGCGAATCGAGTCCAATAAAGAAAACATTAGGAAGATTAGGCTTTAAACGATGTGGTACGTGTTTTGAGCAAAGAACTGGAAAAAAAATAGTTAGAAATATCTAAAAATCAAGTACCTGGTGTTCCAAATTGTACATTAGCGGTCAGCACTCGATCCTGGTAGTACAACAATTTAATGTGCAGCGGATTCGGGTCGTCATCTCGTTGGCTAAAAGGCGGAGTTTTAAGGTTCACATCCGTCCAGGCATTTACTCAATGTTAGCTAATTTTTCGCATTATTATTTGAGCCTCAGAAAATATTGATTACAAGCCCCAAATCGCAAAAAAAAAACAGTTTTTAAGGTCAAAACAAGTTCGAAGAACTTATTCCGGAATTTCCGCATCTTTCCAACTTACATAGGGCTAGCGGCAACGCCTGAAGCCAGAAAAATCGACACGGCGACCCAGGGCAGCATGGCTTTCAGGGGCAAAACCAAGTGAATGGTCAAAGATTCCTTATCAAATCGGGTATTCGATTCCCAGCAGCCGATTAGACAGAATGCCGTCACTTTTCCGGGGGTCTCTTCCTAGGCGCACCCTATTTTTTACAACTTTGCTGCGGACTAGTTTTTGGAAAAGCAGATTAACCTAGAGAGAGGTAGAGAGATAGAGAGAGAGCTAGTGAAAGCGAGAGAAAGCGAGAGAAAGCGAGAGAGAGCGAAAGAAGGCGAGAGAGCGAGAGAAAGCGAGAGGGGGGGGAGGCGGTGAGGAGGCGAGAGTGGTGAGAGGACGCGCGAGAGAGAGCGAGAGAGAGCGAGAGAACGCGAGAGTGAGAGAGAGAACGCGAGAGTGAGAGAGAGCGCACGAGAGAGAGAGAGCGAGAGAAAGCGAGAGAGATAAAATAAAGATATATGTTATTGTATTGTTCGCATTCTTATCTGTAGTAGAACCAAATTATTATTTACAAATTTATACAGATACGCCGAAAATCTAATGTCTGGCCATAGAGAAGCCGACCTCGCGACGATCGAAGTCGAAGTGCGAGCAGTAGGAGCGGATGAAAGGGTGGCCAAGACGGATCTGAAAAATCGGTACTTACTAGACCTTGGCTTAGGCTCGGCTTAGGCTTAGGCTTATGCTTATGCTTAAACTTAGGCTTGGGCTTGGTCTTGGGCTTCGGCTTAGGTTCAGGTTTAGTCTTAGACTTAGGCTTCAGGCTCAAGCTTACAAGTCAAATTGCACAAACCTGGGGTCCAAATTGCGACTTGTCCCACAGCGTATTCTCGTTGAAGAGCAGCTCGCACCGGTCGCTGTTGACCGGCTAAATTTCGGGGATGTACCAAAAACGCACAGCTTCAGCTTACCCATTCGGTGTACTGACGCGGCTTTATGGTGAATGTGTCCTGGTTGACGGTGAACTGGAAGTCGGGCAGGGTGGCCAGGCACGAGACGTAGTACTGAAAATGGAGGGTGTTTCGTAATTCATTAATAGACTTCAAGTAGCGTTTTTCTTGGCTCTAGGGCAGTTCTATAGCCCCCCTGCGCAGCTTTTGAAGGCGCTAGTAAGCAAGCGCAAGAATCTACTCTTTCGATAGACTAGGTCTAAATTCGGATTTTGAAGTTTTAACCGAGCCAGCAGAAGCCCGGCTTTTCCAGCCAACGCCAAGCTCGTGAAGCCTACCGCTTTCATATTCTGATCGTAGGTGGCGCCGACGGCTTGGGCGATGAAAGAAAGTTGGGCCTTTGGGAGCAGAATGGCCCGCTGTATGAGGTCAATTCGGGCAATGTTTGCCTTTCCGCCGGATTGGTTCCCGATTTTCCAGCTGAAATGAAAATCAATTTATCAGAGAGAGAGAGAGAGAGAGAGAGAGAGAGAGAGAGAGAGAGAGACGGAGATACATCGAGAGAAAGACCTAAAACGAGATCTACCAACCCAGAAATTCCAAATTCCCATGCGAGCGACGACGTCAGCGTGACGTTCACGATTTGGTCCATATCGCAGTATTTCCGATCGTAGTCCCCCATCGTCAAGAAGCCGGTCGAATACGGCTCGGCATAGCTAAAAAGGTCATGCTCATTTGGCACGAATTTTCCGATTTAGATTAGCCCCTCAAAAACGAACTTGTCCAGCCACAACGACACAATATTCTGCGACTGGCCCTTGGTGTGGATGGTCTTTGTGACGTTGTAGATGAGCGAGTCGCCGGTTTGACTGCCCTTTGAGGGGAGGCCGAGACCCAAAAATCCGTCAGCGATCACTGGGGACCAGTTGCCGATGGTCTGAAATAATCAATAACTGATTTATTTAATTCTTAAGAATCAAAATTCGTGTAATTTTACGAAATACCTAACCGGTGACGATAGCGAAAACGTCTCCTTTTGTTAAAAGTTTTGGTGTTTTTGCAGTTGCTATAAAGCGAAGAAGCAGATTTCCGGCCGCTAAAACCCATTTCCAAGCCCAGCGCAACCCAATAAAACATTCGGCAAAAAAGCAAAAAGTATGGTGCCTCATGCTGGAATCGAACCAGCGACCTTCTGTTTACTAGACAGACGCTCTGCCACTGAGCCAATGAGGCGATGGGGGAAGCGAGAGGGGAGGGCCTCTTCCCCGTGGCTCCGCCCCCAACCGGGGATGCCTGCGAAATTGACGGCTGGCCAAATAGGTCGGCGTTGCGACAAGTGATCAGAAGTGGAAAATAGGGAAATGGAGGTATTTAACCGGGTTAAAATATGGTTAATATAGCTTATTAAATAAATTCAGTTGCGGGTTACATTTTACATTAATTTGGATCTTTTGGAGTGCCGAAACATCTGGATAAAACCATTCTATCCGTCAAGTGCCACCAAAAATCGGAAAATTATAATTTGTTAACGCACTATCTTTGTTGTAGAATGGATTACGTATGATATACCTTATTAAATATAGTATTTTACCAATTTTTATACTTCTCTAGGGTAAAAACGTCTATCAAAAAGTCTTAACTATCAGATTATGCTAAAAACGAAAAAAAAATTATTTTTAATAGGCTACCTTAATCGTCGACCCAAGCAGCGTTTGAATCGTCGTCCCGGCCACAGTTGCAATTTCGCCGTATTTCTGGGCATAAGATTGGAACCAATCGCCATAGTACGCGAATGTAGTCGACATGAATTGCGCGGTAGTTGAGGCGCTGAAAAATACAGAATTTTTGATTATCAAACTATTAAAAAGCAATACAATTAAATGTGGAATACGTTAATCTCATATTTCTCTTTTTTTCCTCACCTCTCATTATAAAGTCGGCGGGTGAAGTTCTGAGCCTTGTCCATCCGGCAGCTGCCGCCACCTTCTGGGTCATCGAGCTAAATGTAACTTATTATTGCATACATTTATTTTGTTAATTTTAGCCCAATTTTGGGCCGCTTTTGCTAGATTTTTTTCTTAATACGATCAGGGACGTAGCCAGAAAAAAATTTCGGGGGGGGGGGCCCCGAAAAAATTTTTCCGAAAAACTCAAAACATTGTCGAAACAACAGCGCCGCAGGCAAAAATTTTTGAAAAAAGGTTACATAGCTCTACAAATAGCCGTAAAAACGTGAAAAAATAGCGCTGCAGGCAGCAAAATTTTTGAGAAAATAAAAATCATAAGGGTGAAAAAATCTCTCAAATCAAATCAAACCTTATGAAATTTTCGGGCCCCGGCCGATTTCGGGGAGGGGGGGCGGCCCCCGGGGCCGGTATTACGCTACGTCCCTGAATCCGATTGATATGACTTACACGGCATTCCACGGAGAATAGTGCCGTGTCCGACGTGGTCGATTCGAGGGCCAGGTCGAAGGTTTGGGCTGAAAAAACATAAAGTTTTTAACGTTAGCGTTTATTTAACGCGTATTTAACAAAATGGAAAGCTGGAAAAGCTACATTTTTTTGAATTTCAATTTATTCCTGAATTTTAGAATTATTTATATATATTTTTACGTCCATTTTCAAGACCAAACTTGCCCAAATTTCTTGTAGTTTTAAAAATATCCAGAAATGAAGGTTTTCTTAGCTTTAAAATCTTTTGAACTTGACTACAAGCTAAGTAAAAGCTAATTAAACAATTTCTAATCCAAACTTACGAGGACTTCCAAATTGCACCGACGCCGTGATGACGCGGTCCCGGAAGTATTTCAGCGGTAGGCGTAGTGGCATTTGGTCAGTTTTGCTAAAAATTGGTTAAATACAGAAACTTTTTTGTATATGCTTTTTATATCTAGAAACTGTGTAAAATGGCTTAGCTTTCATTATGGAGTCCTACGGGATTACGGGGGAAAATTGGTTCCCCCGCTAAAAGTCCAGTCCATTTAGTTTGGTAAAATTCAAAGAATTTTGTAGTTTTAAAACAGTAATTTTAATGCTAGGCTTTTAATGCTATTAATTCATTTAATTTTTGACCAAGTTCTAGGCTTTCTAACTTTTTAAAGACATTTTATCACAATTTTCCCCGGCTTACATTGGTCCGGCGAGCGCCCCAATGGCCAGCGCGGCGACAGTAAGCAGAATTGTCAGCTTCATATTAGTTGCAGATCAGCAGTGAGAACCGGACTTATCAGCAGGTACCGACTGCAGAATCCCACCCAATTTATACCCACCGCCCGGAACTTTATTCCCCATTGTGCCCCGTTTGGGCGCATCATTTATCGTGACGAATCTGCACACACAGCCCGGTTGCCCCGCCCTGAAGCAAATCAACAATCGGGCAGACTCTAGCCCAAGAGCCCGCAAACGGTACCCCGCTGTCACATTTTGCGACAAGACGCCGCTTTTCTGATGATTCTTCGAGCCCAACAACCCGCAAAGGTTGCCCGGGCGCTGCTGATTACGCCGCCCCAAAATGGGCCAAAAAGTATGAATCGGGTCCAAAGGTCCGGGGAGGCGCTTGGCACTGCGATTTGAGGGGTTATCAGCGAGAAGCCTGAAAAGGAGACTGTATTACGGTCATGGCGTCATGGTATAATGGAGTTGGAGAAGCCTGCAAAGTTTCCCTGCAAAAGGTCCTAGATTTTTGGGTTCTGGGCTGTCAGCGGGGGTCTTTCCTTCCCGCTAACAAAATCTCGGGGAAAATTTATTTTTGGTCAAAAATTATAACTTTTTTAATTCCTAAAACCTTTATTCTTTTAAAAAATCACCCTGAAAACTCGTGGACGTCAGCGGCTCACAACACCGGCAATAAATTGCAGCAAAACAAAAGTTGAAAAAAAACCGGGAAGCATCGTTTGAAAAGCATCACAAAAAGAGGGCTATGCATCTCAAAATAAATATTTGGCAGTCGGTAATTTTCACTCCATGGTCGTGGCTTCATCAACGTCTTCCTGAGCGATCGGGTTGTCGGGGTGCTGGACCTTGGCTTCAGCCTAAACAAAATCTTGAAATGCCAGGAAATGTAATAAAACCCGGAAAGTTTTAAATATTATTTGACTTTCTTAGAGTTGAATTCAACTTGCAAGCTAGCCGTTGATAATTGACTTAGAATAATAATAAAAAATCGTTTTGCAAAAGATAATTTTCACTCAATAATTCACGGCCGTCTAATAATACTACCTGCAACTGAAGTAGCGAGATGGGGCCCGTGGAGTGCTCGATGAAGCTGACGACGGCACTTGATGAGACGACGGCCATGATCGAGCGCAAGTCGGCCACCGGACGCATCTCGTGCATCGGCAACGAGCCCGAGCTGGCACTGAAAAGAAATTGACTCCAAGAGCACATCCCTCAAACCAAAAGGGGCATTTTTAACTTATTTTAAATTTTCAAAATTTTTAGCGCCAAAATTGACAATATTGATGTCTCAGAGATCCCAAAAGCGAAATTCCATCATGTAAAAATTCCAAGTGTCGAAATATTAGCACAGATTTGTGGTATTTTCCAAGATTTGTTCATTTGACAACTTCGGCGTCTGAAATTTCGACATTCTGTATCCAAAAAAAATCCTGACATCCAAAAATGTCGACATTCTAGTAACAAATTAAATTTGGGACAGACGACCCAGACCAATTTATTGCCACGTCTATCTTGCTCTGGAAACCAAGTATCTGAGCTTTGGAACGTAAAAAGACTAGAGTACTCACTCAAAAACAGTCATCCTCATGTGCGGTCGGCGGATGGTCGAGTGGATATAGGTGCCCGGCTGGTAGATGTCGTACTCGATGCGCTCGACGCGCTCGACGTGCTCGACGCGCACTTCCTGGCGCACCCACGGCGCTCGGCCCGTGTTCACCGGAAAACGTCCTCGGCCATACGGAGCAGCCGGTCTGAAAAAATGGCGATGAGCCTTTTTTTATTATGCCGGTATTTTTTCCCTTTTTAGCTTGTCCCCCTTTCCTTTCCTTTTTAGCTAATTTTTTTATCAATTTTGAACGTCGTATCATTAGCCTTAGACCTCGCTTTATATAATCCTCGTGTAGCTACGCCACTCTCTCCAACTAAAACAATCCATACATACGTTTTTATGGTGGTAACCCGTTGATTATTTTGCGGCCTTTTGGCGTAGAACCTAACTTTTTGGTTCCCCGCTTCAAAGAAGGCTTTTAAAGTTATTTAAATTCTTTTGTTTAGAAATGTAGCTTATAGTTTTGTAGGTATTTGTACTTTGTAGTCCAGTTGTAGCCCGAATTGTTGTTACTTTGTAGCCTTCCCGAAAATTATCTCAATTTTTTTAAAGAAACATCTCAATTTTAGCAATCGAGCCATCGATTTCCCGTTATTTTTCCGACCTATTTACTTTTCTTCCTCCTTTTAGCCTTTTTTGCATTGCTATTTCTTTCTGCCTTTTTTTGCAGAACACTTTTGCGCATGTATTGCCTTTTCCCGCCATTCGGCCCGCGTTTCTGCAGTTTGTAGCCGGGGCCGCAGCGCAGGTGTTCGCTTTCAAAATATTCGAAAGCGCGATTTGATGTTTCTAATTACTTTGCAAACATCTCCCCAACTTCCTGCAAATTCGTACCGATAGGCCGATAGGCGCCGAAAGGCAGCCGCCGAGGACACTGCCGAAAAGGTCACCGCCGGAAAGGATCACCGCCGATATAGGATCGGAACACGAAAATGGAGGGTACCGATATGGGATCACGAAACCGAATTTCGGGCAAAATGTCGATATAAGGGATCACGAAACCGGATTTCGGCGAATGTCGATAAAGGGATAAAGAGGACGCGATATATTATTACAGATGTAAAGAGCTATTTATTTAGGTCGATTTCGAAAGAAATTACAGAGAAGATGATAAACTAATGTTTTACGGAGTATTGTTCAATCCGATGCCTTGCCAGTTGTGATCGTGGTGCCTCCGCCTTCCTCCCTCATCCACCTTATTTATTCGACTCCCCGTTAACCTCTGCCAGGACTATTGACTGGCATAAAATGGACTACTCGGTGATGCAGCTTCGATCCCATACCTCTATCTGCTTTAGTACGACCTCTGCCATCATCTCCGGTGTTCCAATCAGCTTCCTTCCGGCCCCACCAGTCTACCGAACGAATACTTCCGTAAAACCTAGTTTTATCAACTTCTCTGTAATTTCTTTCGAAATCGACCAAATAATAGCTCTTACATCAATGTAATAATATATCGCGCAATCCTTCTCTGACCCAATCGACATCGCCATCACCCATATCGACATTTTCCCGAATCCGTTCTATCCCATATCGGTACCCATCGTGTTCCATCCCTTATATCGGCGGTATCCCTAATCGGCTGATCCCATCGGATGATCCCTAATCGGCACGATCCCTTAATCGGCGATCCCATATCGGCGGGATCCCTATATCGGCAACCTTATATCGGTACAGAGCCGCAAATTCTATGCATTTCTTACAACTACCCTCTTCAGTCTTCGTTTCCAAAACAGTCTGGCCCAAATTTGTCCCCCCATCGCACGATCTTCTTCTTTTCCGTGACAAAAAATCCACGTGTCGATCTCAAATTCATTTGTTTTTTTAGGAAAATGGCGGCCGCGGGCCCATCGGCCGAAGAGCTGGCGATCCAGGAGGACTACCGCATCTGGCAGCGGAACACGCCCGTCCTCTACGACATTGTCATGTCGCACGCGCTCGAGTGGCCGTCGTTGACGGCGCAGTGGCTGCCCGACGTTATCAAGGTAATATCAAATCACGCTTCAAAATGTCTTTTTTAGTCCGACAGCCCCGACTACACGGTCCATCGTCTCATCTTGGGCACGCACACCTCCGACGAGCAGAATCACCTCGTTATCGCCCGCGTGCGAATCCCCACCGAAGACGTGCGCATCGACCCCAACCGCTTTGATCTGGACAACCAAGGTAAATTCGGCTTGATTCGTTGTGTTGACAACCGTTTTCTTGTAGATTTCCTCGGCCTAACGTGCATGGGCGGCAAAATCGACATCGAGCAGCGCATCAACCACGACGGGGAGGTCAATCGCGCCCGCCATATGCCCCAAGATTCGAAGATTATCGCCACAAAATCGCCGAGTGAAGAGGTAAAAAAATCAGCTTTTTGCAAAGAATCTTGCGCGGATTTGAAAGAGAGGTTTAGGACTAGGGTCGAAGTGGGTGGGCCTATCACGCCGTAGGGTCAGACATGTAGCAGTTTTTTGCGCGGATTTGAGTACAGAAAGTTCAGAGAAGAAATTGACATTGCTGGTTGTTTTTTGTTCTAACAGAAACGCCAAAAGTCCTAAATTTTGTCGAGTTTTTATAACTTTTGAGTATCCGAAAGCACTAAAAACCTTCCAAACCCCTAAAAATGTAAAGTAAAGGCTCAGGAGCTTTTTCGCAAATTACTAAAAATTTTTCCTGGCGTGCTTTTCTGTCATCATAATACCCCTGTTCAGGTCTACATCTTCAACTACACGCTCTTCCCCGCCGGCACCGCCCCAGGCCCTTGCCAACCGACGCTTCGTCTCCGCGGCCACACCAAGGAGGGCTACGGCCTGTCGTGGAACCCGAACCAGGCCGGCCATCTCCTGTCCGCCAGCGACGACCAAAGCGTTTGTCTGTGGGACATCTCGGCCAACGTGAACGCCAGCCCGGCCGGCAGCTACGTCGAGGCCAAGTCGAAATTCAACGGGCACCACTCGGTGGTGGAAGACGTCGCGTGGCACGTATTGCACGACAACGTCTTCGGCTCGGTGGGCGACGACAAGAAGCTGCTGATCTGGGACACGCGGTATGGAATCGTTTTTTGGCAGCTTATTGAACCCGTTTTAGCCACGATAACCAAAAGCAGCCGCTGCACAACATTGACGCGCACAACGCCGAGGTGAACTGCCTGTCGTTCAACCCGTACTCTGAGTACATCCTCGCCACCGGGTCCGCTGATAAGGTATGGGGTTTTGACTTGCGAGTTAATTTTTTTAGACCGTCGCGCTGTGGGATCTGCGCAATTTGAAGCTGAAGCTCCACTCGTTCGAGTCGCATCGCGACGAGATTTTCCAGGTGATTTTTGACGTTTTTTGCTCTGGTTCGTTAACGGAAGGGATTTTAAGTAGGACCAGTATTCTATTTTAAAATCATTTTTTTAAGTCGGGTATAAAAATTTTTTACATAAGATTAAAAATTGACGATTTTAGCCAAAAGTCATTCCGTGAATTTTTTTTCGAGCTAAAAAGGCGCAAAATGCTATTAAAATAGTTTATGTTTATTACTCAGTGTTTAAGAGAATATATGATAATTTTAGGCGCCGCTTAGGAACCAGAACCCGATTTTTCACACGACGCAAAACCAACTTTCCTAGGTTCAATGGTCACCCCATAACGAGACGATCCTCGCCTCCTCCGGCACTGATCGTCGCCTGCACGTCTGGGACCTGAGCAAGATCGGCGAGGAACAGAGCCCGGAAGATGCCGAGGACGGTCCGCCCGAGCTGCTCTTCATCCACGGCGGCCACCAAGCCAAGATCTCCGACTTCTCGTGGAACCCCAACGAGCCGTGGGTGATCTGCTCGGTCAGCGAGGACAACGTCATGCAGGTGAGGGCTTTTACGAGTTGGGACTTGCTGAAGCCGTCGTCTTTCTAGACCTTCTAAAAAGCCCCCTTTCCAGGTCTGGCAAATGGCCGAGGACATCTGCAACGACGACGAGGGCGACGCGATGGCCGAATAAAAAGCAAGAAAAGAACCACTTTTCGTACATGTGCTATCTATGCTATCACTTTCATGTATTATTTTTACAACCGATCTCCATTCCACAATACCCGATGCTATATCTAACAGCCCCGTTACCGATTTTCCGATTTTCCAAGCGACTTTAACGTTGAATAAATTTACCTTGCACTGTTTCGCGTGCGCATCTCACGGGCATTGTTGATGGCGGCGAGGGCACGCTTGCGGTAGTCGGCCCAATCGGTGGCGGTACGGGCAATCTAAAATGACATTTTATCAATTTTTGTAATCGATAGGATTTCTTTGTAGGCCCATGAAAACGCACATGCTCTAGATTTGGCCAATAGCCAGGCGCCAGACGGCGAGCAAGTCGTTTCGCGTCCTTTCTTCCGGCCTAAAAAACTTATTTTTGAAAAGACCACACGAAACCTACCAAAGAACTGAAGCGCAACAACGTTGGACTGAGCGGCAGGTTAGCTTCGACGGCATGGCCTACCGGGTTGAGCGCATCGTCGGCCGCCAAGTTTTTCATCCTAAATCATAGATTTAGAAATAGAGCTTGACCAACTCCAGCTGGCCCTCGCGTATCATCATCGGGAAATCGTCGAGCAGCCGGCGCGGGAACGGCTTCAGCTGAACCCTAAAAATTATGGTTTTAGAGATCGTCAATTAATAACCTCTCGGCGGGCGTTTCCGCAACTTCTTCAGAAAGTGCGCTCGATGCAGTGCTAGTCGTTGGAAGGCCGTGAACCGACGGATCGAACCTAGAAAAAAGCTTTTTTTCCAGAAAACAAGTGCAGAACTATCTTTTCTCTCTTTGTCATCTTTTACATCTTCTACATCTAGGAAATCCAGAAAAAAACAGAGATTACCTTTTCCGGACGATCACGAAGCCGCTGCGCCGAATCTCGCGGTAGGCGGTGAAGTGGGTGTGTGGGACGAGATTGAGCGCGATTCCATGGAGCTGAAAGAAACCGTACTGTGAATGCAGAATCCAAAACCCATTTCTAACTGCTTATTTCCACAAAGTACACACCTGAGCCGTCGTCAATTCGTTGCCCGCCTTGTCGGTAACGTAGGCGGCGCCCGTCTCACGCAGGTAGAGCGTCTATAAGTTATTCGAATACTTATAAAACGATAAAAATCGTACCTCCTCGGGGTACAGCTTGTGCCGAAGTCCCTTGCTGCCCGGCACGCCCATCGTCGACAGGTAGGAGCCCTAAAAAGTATTGAGGCAACAAAGAGAAATTTTTACCGCCGGGCGGGCCACCTCGAAGCCCCTGTTCGTGTCGACAAACTCGATGTGGATCATGCGTTTCCTGAAAAAGGGGTTTTCGTAATAAAAAGAAACTATTTTAGCGCGACGACAAAAAAATGAAAAACGGCGCGTGAAAATTTTTGCGCTGGAGATTTGTAAAGGTAAAACTTCGATAACTATCATCACGAATTTGCACCAACCCGTAAACATTGCAACATGGAGCGTAAAAAGCTACATACTACACAAATTTCGTATTTTTAAAAAAATAAGCACCGTCGTCTCCTCAAAAATTCCTCCTCGTCGTGCTCGCGCCGCGGCATCTTGCTTCCGTCCTGCGCCTGCTCCTTTGACTCTTCGCTTTTTCTTTTCATTTACGAGCTCTGAACCGGGTTTTGAAATCATAGCTCCTCCGCAAAAGAACCAATACCCAATGTCGTTTTCTGCGAGGCCGAGGCTCCCACTAGATTATTTCAAAAGATTTATGTACAAGTAAAATACCGGTGAAACGACAAGTTCCTGATGTGGTAAGTTTAAAGCGACAAAGCTCTTTACATAGGGGAGTAAGATCAGGTTTGTACAAACGGCTTGAGGTGCAGAAGCACGCTAAAAACAAGGCAAGTAAATAAGCAAGAAAGGTACATAAAAATTTAATAAGGCACACCGGGATATATGTATGATTGATTGCACATGGGAAAGACGAGATTAATCACAAAAAGGCTTTTCAAAGCTCTAAATGTCCATGCGAAATATGGCCTTCTGATCCTTGGATTCCTTCAGGTTGTCGAGATCGCCCCACCACTTCTGCAGGTGCCCAAGGCGCACGAACAGCTTGAACCACGGCGTGAAGGTGTAGCGGGGGTCGTTCATCAAGCGCGGCAGCTCATCGGGGGAAACGGCTGGAAAAAGTAAGTCAAAATCTCGAGAAAAATTACCATCAACGGCCTCAACTTCCTCGGGGTTCATTTGTATTCGCTGCAGGTCGAAATTCCTCAGAATCAGCGCGTAGTCCATCTCGTGCTCGCCCCAAGGGCCGGATGCCATGTTGGCTTTGTAGAGGTATTTTCCCTAAAATGAAAAACATTTTGCCCTAGTCTAGACAATCTTACCTTGAAAACATAGCTGTCCGTCGGGTCGGGCCGCACCCCGAGCTCGTGCTCCATTTTCCGGGCGGCCGCGTGTTTGGCGCCTGAATTTCACCAGTATAAAAAAGTAAAAGTAGCCAATTATCTTATAAAAAAAACGCGTAGAATCCTCACCTTCAACTCCTTGCACCTCTCGCTCGTCCCAGAGCGGATGCGAGCAGCAGGTGTTCGTCCACATTTGCGGGAAGGTGATCTTGCAGGCCGAGCGCTTTTGGAGCACCAACCTCCCGTCGCGTGTGAAGGCGAATACACTAAAACGGATGAGACAACAATTATTCAAGTTTTTGGCATCTGAATTTTAATAAAAAACCTTTTAGTAAACAAGGATTTCAGCGAAAAATCCATCATATTGCACAAAAAATTGGATCGTTTTGGATCTGGAAGCACGCCAAGCCAAATTCTCATACCTGAACGCTCGATGCAGGGCCATCGTCTCCTGGTGGTGCGCATCGCCCTTGCTCACTTGCTGCACTGGTTCGTCTCGTTCATTGACGGCGATGCACATTTCCTGAAAGCAGCAAGATTAATCTGTAGATTCTGCTGTATTTCACAAACTACGCTTAAAAATACTTTTGATGCCGCAACTTTCTGATTTAGCAAAATTACTCTTTTTCATTAGGCCAATAAAGATACGTATCTACGCGCGACCACTTATAAGAAAAACAAAACTTCGCTCGAATCAGACCGGAGCTCCTGAGCAAACAAATAATTGTATGCCTGATAAGCGCTCTATTAAAGAACGCCTGACCACAATTCCATCATTTCTAACCTTCTATTCTCATTCCTGATATCTCGAAACCATTACTCACCTGCAAATGCTGGACCTGCGCCGGGTCCGCGTGTGCCAGTGCCGCCTGGCCGCGCGCCCCGAGCATCTTCAGCGGCGGCCCGCGGACCTTTGGGATCAGCGGCTTCACGATTCGTCCTATGGCCATCTGAATCACGGGGTAGAATCGATGAGTGATGAATATTGAAAGGGTAGTTTCCGGGTGGTTGCGATATTGCTGACTCGGCCTATTGCCAGCCTGGCCTCTTACGAACCGAGAAATAGTGGGGATTCGTAGGAGGTAGTAGAGTTAGGTGTCAGGAAAGGGCGGCCTATCGCGGGGAGAAGCCATGCATGCACGAGGTTTGGAATTATACGCAGCAACGAAATATCTAAGTTTGAGGGTTACCGCGCAAGGGAGAAAACCTATAAAAAATTCCGAAACAGTCTACAGAGCCACTCAACAGGTTCTGCTCCATTAGGGGGGGAGGCATTTTTTTTTCGACAGCTTTTCTTTCTGAAGATCACTTTATTTTGAACTGTAATTAAAGACTCCTATTATAATTTTTGATGTTCTATCGAATCGCGCTAGCATAATTGCGAAAAAGTTGCGCAACATCGGAAACTGGCTTAATTAAAAGGATTAATTGAGATTGGAGCCTCATTTAAAAGGATTTTTTTTTTTTTAATACAAGTACCTGACAATACGTCATATTGAGCCGTAATTTAAAATATATTTTTTTTGCTTAAAATATAGCGAATATTGACCAAACTAGGACAATTCCCCCCGGTAACGACCCAGAACCACTCAAACTTATGACCAGCGGAACCATCACTGCCGAATCCCTGTAAAAGTATCCATTGTCGCCAACTTGTCGTGCTTTTGTTCTCCACCGAAAAAGATACAATCCTTTATTCATTTTCATTAATCTCATGGGTCACTGTGAAATACTAAACTCTGGTAAGTACACACACGCAGACACGCACAACGGCAAAGAAGCTCAGCATAGCGACACAGATGAAAGCGTTAATAATTTGGATGGCCAGTTCGGAGGGTGGGGACGATCCCTTGAGAATAAACGAAATGCTTGAAAGCTGCCCGGACAAATCACAGAGTCGTCTCTTTTGGGGGGTTGGTGCAAAAAAAGTAGGGGGCAGAAGCTCGAGCGGGTAGAAACGGGGAAGCCTATCGGAACCTCGAAAATCAGAATATCGCATTTTCCGAAAACGTCGAATTTTGAAATGCCGAATTTTCAGAAAAAATGTAGAATTTTAAAAATACCGAATTTAAGAATGTCTATTTTCGAAATGTCGCCATTTTCAAGGGTACTTTTTTAGGCGGGCAATCTCCTGGATAATGTTGGAATGCGGAAAATTCAACTTTTTTTGAAAACTCGCCATTTTAAAAAGTCGGGATTCTGAAAATCCGCATTTCTATAAAATCGAGTACATGGAAAATGTTGAATTTTTAGGATTTAGAACTTACAGAATCGCCGATTTTCAGGATCACGAATTCTCAGAAAATTTTAAAACAATTTTTTAAAGCAGAATTTTCGAGATTCCGATAGGCAACCCCACAAAACGCATCAACAGATTTTCTACGGGATTTGGACCGCTTCATCAAAAAGCGCGCAACCTAGTAGCTGCACACAAAAACACCGGTAAAATCGGGGTAGGGGCTTTAGGGAGGGGCGTGTATCACAAAGGTGCTAGAAATGGGGTGCCTATACAAGTAGAAGGATTTGTGAAGCGAGTAAGTTATAGCGGACGCATCCGCGCGCACCGAATCTGTCTGGATGGGGGAAAGGCGTACTGACCGTAGGGGGGAATTTGGGGGTAATGCATTAAAATTAAGATCAAACCGGCAAGCTAACAGGCTAGGTATATTGGAGGAAAGTACATAGCGGAAGTGGGGGGGGAGGGGCATTGGCACACTTTAATACAGATCGAGAGGGATGAAGATCATTCGGCAAGCGCGGTTGAGGACGGCCTGTGGGAAGTCCTGGAGCGGAAGGAGGGGTTGTATCCTGAAAAAAATTAAGTTCGTGCCCAAAAGCCGGGCTGGTACCAAAGTAAATCTAGGCCCCCCTAGATCAATCTAAACCCCCCCTTTAGATCATCTAAACCCCCCTTTAGATCATCTAGTACCCCCCTTTACGCTCAAAATTGGCCCATGAATCGGTCAACGTTTACGGAAAGGTCATTGGACCAAAAAATATCGCACTCAAGTTTTCTAGGAGATAAAAAGCTCCTCTATCTGATGACGTATTGAAAACACCGGTAGAATTGATGGCTTAGGCGCAGCCACGCAGGAAAAAAGTAAAGGGGGGTATAGATGATCTAAAGGGGGGGTATAGATAATCTAAAGGGGGGGGTATAGATAATCTAAAGGGGGGGTATAGATAATCTAAAGAGGGTACTAGAAACACCCCCGAAACACAAACGGTCTAAGGGGGGGGGTCAGCACCCCACGTTTCATTAAATTAATAAAAAAGGTGAAATATTTTACGGTTTTCGATGAATGCTTATTCGACGTAGAAAAATATGGAGAATACGATGTCATTGACGCGGAAAGCCAATTCGGCGACGATTCACGGTTAATGACCAACAAAAAATCTAAGCCCCCCTTAGATGATCTAACTGTAAAGTGTTTTTACTCAGGCTGGCGTTTTGGCATGGGACCCAGACTATCTTGTGCAGAATTTTGCGCTGATTCCGAATCAGATTTCCAAATCTGCTGCCGACTTTTATTTAAAAAGTGATTTGACATTTATACTATAAAAAGTGCCAAAATCCGGATGTTTTTGCGTTATTCTTAAGTTGTCTTCATCTTCAACGTTAAAACTGGGTCGTTAACGGTTTTAGAGATCAAATCACGATTTTATGCAAAAAAAATTATCTGTTTTTGTGCAAAAAGCAAAAGAAATTGTGCAGGGCGGGGATCGAACCGCCCCCCTGTGCCTGGCAAGCGAACAGCTTACCAATGCACCATGGTGCCAACTGTGAAGCCCCCTTCGGGAGGGTAGATAAGGGGCACAACAATACCTGGACCCAGACAGGGAATAGTGGGCCAGCATCCGAATTTATGCCGTTTTTTAGCTTAATTTCGGCCTGAAATGACTTTTCAACGCGAAGTCCGCAGCAAATTTGGAAAACGGATTCGGAATCAGCAAAAAATTCTGAACAAGATAGTCTTGGTCCCATTCCAAAACGCCAGCCTGAGTAAAAACACTTTACAGTAAGTGAAAGTTTTTTCTTTTAGATCATCTAAGGGGGGGGGGTTAGATTATTTTGATGGCTTTTTAGTCCTAAATTTGGATCTCAAAAACGATGTTCGGCCGTTTGCAACATCAAACCACAGCAGATGGGTGGCTTATTGGGTAAAGTCATTCGGATTAAGAGATTTGAAGTTTTTCTTTACTTTGGCCCCCTCCCGTGTTAATAATTCCCCGGTACCTACAATCATGGCCCAAAATGGCTCAGAATAACAAATCCACCCGCGCCGGGTAAAAAAAAATTATCGTGGTTTCATATTATCGCGGGTGTAGGCTTTGAAAACCCCCGAAAAATTCCCCGGCGGGCTTCTAAAACACCCTAAACACCCCCGCGGTGGGGTTATTCGGGGTGTTTTAAAACAGCGCCGTTCATAGGTTGAGTAATCCAACTGGATAGGTATTCTTATGGTGAAACCACCACCTTTTGCTTGTTTTTTTAACATTTTAAATTGATTTACTTTTGTGGGCATTTAACCATCTAGAGGGGGATAGATTGATCTAGGGGCCCCTAGAACGGTAAAAAAGGGCCGAAAAGCCATCTAAAGGGGGGTACTAGATGATTTAGGGGGTTGATCGGCAAAAATGGTCCAATGCATCTAAGGGGGCCCTAGATGATCTAGACCCCCCCTTTAGATCATCTAGACCCCCCTTTAGATCATCTAGGGGGGTTTAGATCGACTTTGGTACCAGCCCAGATTTTTTTCCTCTAAATCCCGCAAAAAACGTTTCACAATCCTCTTTCCTCAAAATCCTCCCTCCGAAAATTAGAATTGGCGAAATTTAAATCCCGAATGATAACATAAAGGAAAGATCTAATAAATCACTGCCACAAAAAGAAGAGAAGTTCGGGTGCTGGCCTGTTAGCGGGGGGGGTAATTTATCTCCCCCATTTTTAGTAGTCGATGATCGCTAGGAAGTTACAAAAAATATTTTTAAAGTTTTGAAGTTTTGCTATTGAACTTTTTAAAAATTTAACAAATTCTCGGGGATACCAGAGATTTGCCCAAAAAACGCTCTCTACTCAACGCACCTCGGGGGCAACCGCTCGAACTCCCGCTGATAAGCCTCGTCCAGATTGCATCGGTTGAGGGCTCGGCCGAATTCGTCGAGAGATGCGAATTGGATGTCCCTAAAATGGGTAATTAGTAATTTTTCAGGACCTGGAAAACTAGTAAAATCATCGCATTAGCTGATTTTAAAACCACACCTAAAAATCGGGAAATGGGTGCCGAGCGAGACGACGGTGTCCTGAACGTTCCGCGACTCGTTGACGAGCGCCTGGATCGCCTTGAACATGTTGCTCTCGCCGACGGCCGTCGTCACGAGTTGCCGCGAGGACTCCCGCGAGCCGTGAGAGTTGTTGGTGACCAGGTGCTAAAAAATAGTTAAAGAGACAGCAAAAAATCACACCTGATTCCTGGGGTTGCTAATGTACAGTGGAGGAGCATCCGGGTGATAGTTTGGCCGGTCGTAGACACATCGCACGTGTACGTTGGGTCCTAAAGTCAAAGATTTCGAAGCATATTTTAGAAAAACCTTTGAAAAAATAAAAATAAAAACTTTTTATTTTTTTTTCGAAAAACAATTTGTTTGAAAGTTAGATTCTCGTAAATCTATTCCTAGCCACCCATTAATTTACGATAGGTCCGAAAAATTACTTTTGAAACTCTGATTATAATAAAAAATTTATGAAAAGAAAAAGATTGTAAAAGCTATACGCAAAGACTCCACGGTTTCCACTCACCAAGCCAGGAGATGAAGTGAGACGGAAGGGCCAACCGCTTCAAAAAGTACACCAAATTCCAGAAGATGACCGGATGGGTTTCCATGATGGATTTGTCCTGAAGAGAAGCTAGAAGCTACAAAAAGAAAGAGTACCGTTAGAGCCTGCATATCCTGGTGCACGAGCGTCTCCAGCTCTCTGCGCAACACCACGGGCGACACGAAGGCGACGGTGAGCGGGGCAGGCGGCTAAAAACAGTAAATTACAGAGTACTAGAATCTACAAAAACAGGTAGTTCGAAAAACGTACTTCACTGGCTTCGGCCTCTTCATTCACAGCAGAAGCATCGGCGTCCGGCTTCCGCAGCGCCGGCTGGTACCAGCTGACCCGGCTGTCCTTCTTCCACGCAAAGTTGACGTGCAGCATCGGGGCGAAGAGGCCTAGAAAAGTGGAAATAGCAAAAAAAAATATAAATTCGGTAAGACATACCATGGTGGTCGGTGTCGTCGCCGCGGCAGTACGGGCACTCGGTGTTCATGTTTTGGTCTTCCACCTAAAATAGGAGTTTTTACGTGAGAAATGGACAGCCTTTTCCCAAAGCGATTTAGGCAGAATTAAGAGAGCTGTGAGGGGGAGATACTATCGAAAACTTAAGCCAAATGGAATCTTTGATGAATCAAAAATCAAAGCTTTTTCAAAATTAGAGGGCTAAAAGGGAGAGATAAAATCGAAAAACTGCCAAAAGCTTTCCAAGCAATACACAGAAAATCAGCTGGGTTAATTTCATGCGATCTTTTTGCTACGGATCTTCTAATCAACAGGCTAAAATCAAACTCAATAAATCCTATTTTTAAAGCTTTTTTCCATCCCTTGTTATCTCACTAAAAAGTTAAACCTCATCACAGCCTCCATCATAAAACCAACACCGGGGTCCCAAAAAGTAAAACCTGCAATCTGCCGGGGCTAAAAATCTACCTGAGAATGCCCATTCTCCAAATACGGCCCCTAGGAGAATATATTGCATGCGACAACACAACCACGGCGTTACCTTCCACCCGGCCATAATCTCCTCGTCGTAGACCATAATCTGGCAATGCGGGCACAGCGTCGCCACGCACAACGAGACGTCCATCACGCGAGAGGAGGTGGGGTGCACCTGGAATGAGGTGTTGCCCGGAAATTCGAGTAGCAAAACCTCTTCTTCCTCGAAAAGCCCGCGCATCCAGAACGCCTCATTCAGCAGCGAGTCCGGGGACCCGGTGTCCAGTTGATAGGCAGGGTTGTGCTCGTCGACGCTGCCGGAATTTGTAGAATCCTGAATCCATAGATTTCAAAAGGTTAACGTTATTTTGTCGACAAAAATTTAGCCGGCACCAGACTTCGGCGTGAAATTTGCTAAATTCTTGACCGAACGGCTCGAATTTTAAGTCTAGCGCCAGTTTTTGGCTGCCCAGTGCCTTCATACTAATGTGCCAACTCAAATACAAAATTTAATTTAGTAAAAATAAAAGACTTTTGGAGCCAAAGAACCATCATTGCGGATCGATACCAATGAGAAAAAACCCATACCTTAGTAAAATTCTTCGAAACAAAATGACCAAATTGCGGCTTTTCAAACACAGTTTTGGGATGTTTTGGCAGCTTAACCATAGCCAGCTGTCAGTCATGAAAACCCCAGAACCCACCGCATCATCACTGAAAATTTGACCACTTCCGAGCAGCCCGGCAGACTTCTGGAGGCCCTTGACCTCCTGGACGAATGAAGAGACGCCGGAGCGGAGCTTGGACGACATCCCTAAATTGGTAGATGAAGCCACGGAAAACAAGAAAAAACGCTACAAAAGGGTCTTCCAAAGCCACGAACGAGGTTGCGAAAAGCCGCTCCGCCAATTTGGCAATTCACGATTTCAGGCAACACAAAGCATTCTGGCCGAACCGACGCGGCAGTTATTCATGCGGAAAAGACGAAGCGGGCGTCGAAGTAAGAATGGGATCGGCACAAATACGCAGAAATGCACAAGTTGGCTGCGGGGAACAGTCGAGGAGGAGCGAAAAGCGAAAGAAATTGCGGGAATAAGGTGGGAACCAGCTATGATGGGTGGACTTGCCTGAGCCGAAACTCTTCTTCTGGGTGCCTGTAGAAAATGGGTGATATTAGAGAGGTACAAGCTGGGCTGTCTGATACGTGTGAGAGAGGCATAAAGTTCTCTGTGTCGTCAATACTGTCCAATTTAAAAGAACCAGAAGGATGACCGTTGTAACACGGCCCAAAAAATCTGCAGAACGTCTTCAGGGTGTCCCAGATGAAAAACATTTTCTTCGCTACCAATACGAAGGAATGCCCCGACTTCTATGATTTAGGTAGCAACCGAAAACTCTTCAAACCGGCGAGAGATATAAGGGAGATTTTCTATTTCAAAAGTTTTCTAGTTTTAATATCATTTATAAAAAAAATCGAGCAAAATTGGGTTCTTGAGGCGTTCCTCTCTGAAAAGTTTCTCATAAAACCAACGATTTTGAAAATTTCTAAGCTTTCTAGCACATCGCTATTTTTCGCGTCTAATTTCACCACGCTACGATCGAGCTGGTATCCTCGAAAAAAACAGTATATTAAAATACCAAAAATCGAGCAGGACACAAGCGGAATTTCCAAAATCGAAGGGAGTATATTATTCAAAAAGCCTGTTCCCTGATACCTCAATCATAAAAATCGGCCACTTCCGGAGGGCAGGGCAGGGTTTTCTCGAACACCCTATCAACACTACGAGTTCAAGAAGAGTCGAAAGCTCTCAGAATCGGCCTACAATCAGATCAAGCCGGAAGACAACCGATCGTCGATGAAGTCTCAAAAAAGTTGACGATGCGTGTCCGTCTGTTTCTCTATCATGCCGTGCTTCGTGCACTCACCTCCTTCCCGCACGACCTCGTCGTATCCCTTTTTGACTTGCGAGACAATGTTATGCAGCGAGGGGCTGGCTACGAAATTCCCCAGCGACGTCCCGTTATCCGACGACCCGTCCGAATTGATGGACTTCTTGTCCAATTGGTCTGGAAAGTGAGAGTTTTATTATGGAGATTGCAACATCTTCAACAGGGTCAATTTTCGAGTGCGGTTAACGCCACGGTAAGCAACACGTCGCCAGGATTACCACAATTTCACGTGTCATTTCCCAAGCCTACCTGGGGCTGGCGGGTTCTCAGCTGAAAATCAAGGAAAAATGGCTTACGCGTTGGCGCTCGGATAGACAGAGTTTGCGTAAAACTCACCGGTGGTCTGACTGCGAATCATCTTCATCAACGGGCTGTTGGCGATGTTCTTGCCCATGCCGGAGAACCAGCCGCTTTTCTTCTCCTAAAAAAAGCCCAAATCACGGCATGAAACTAATTCTATTAATGTGAAATTCACTGATCAAAAATAAAAATAATTCTTTTCATATAAAAATTAACTGAATTGAAAGAAATATAATACCTTGTCCAGCTTCTTGTCGCCCTCCTCCTTGAACAGCCGCTCCTCGGTGTGGTCGGCCAAAAACTTGGCACGGGCTGGCGACATTCCAACGTCGGGGGGAGCAGATTTCTAGAAAAAGGGCATTAAAGATAATCAGGACACAAAATCAAAAATATAAAATACTCTGTACCTGTCTCTCATGGTCGTGATGCTGATTTCGGTCCGGATGGAGGGCGCCCAGCGGGTCGGCATTCTCATGGCGGGGCATCAACGGATTTCTCACTTCCTTCTCTTCGCTCGGTTCTGGTGTCTTCACCTCGCGATTCTCCGACATTTTCCGTGATTCGTCCAACGGCGTGGAGGTGATGATGAAGGGGGCTGTGCGCAAGCGGTCTTCCTCATCCTCCTCCCTTAGCGTTTCGTCGATGGCCACGGAGACCGGCGTTGTCGTTGCCTCGCTGTGGTAGCCCGGGTCAGATACTGACGCCGAGTCAACGGCCATTCGCTCGCCGGTGAATCGGCGGCGATTCCGGAAGTGTGTCATCCCGATGAGTATCATCCTAAAATGGTTTAGTCATAAAAATGCTGACTGTCGTACTACCGAATTTTATATGATGCCGGATTTTAATCAAATCAAGATATTATAGTGCCGAAAGGTCATAATACCGAATTTTCATAATAGCTACTTTTCATAATATGTAATTACACCGCGAAAAGTCTTATAACTCCGAAACTCGGTGCTTTTTTTATCAGGTTGGAACGAAAGTTCTGTCGCCGAGATTTTGGAAGGCTGGCCAAATTCATAGATAGCTCCATTCTGCACGTGCGATATGTCATTTTGGGGCTCTCGGCCTGAATGGTCCCGGGAGGAGGGTCCTGGGCCCTCAAAATCAAGAACAGCTGAGATACAGGCCCAAGAAGATTTTTCAAAAATCACGAGAAAGTGTTTTTGCGAGTTATCTCTGCATAAATATATTTGCATGCGAACCTTAACGCCAATCGAAGTCTCGAGGAGTAGATACGATAGTGTGAGATCATCAATTTGGACACTGTCGCCGAGATATGGCCTCTGAAATGGCCCATTTCTGAACTTTTCTCGATTTCCCATACATCTTTCAAAATCCACTCCGCTAGTCCAAAAATAAAGCGGTATTTTCGGCACCTATCCGTCAAATGTTTGGATGTAGGGAGCGAGAAAGTTCTAGGGGCCTTTGAGAAATCTCGGCGATCGTGTCCAAATTTGATGATTCACATCTATCGAATCTACCTCGGGATCGAGGGAGTACGCACATATATTATGCAGGAAACACTCGTGTCTTCTTGGGCCTTACAGCTGAGGGGGCCTCCTCCCGGGCGAAATCTGATGGATCTTTAGGCCTTCAATCTCGGGGGTCCTACTTCGGAAGCTAACCATGCAATACACCAAACAGCAAAAAAAACATATTTTGGAGAAGGTTTACACAAATTTACCTCAAACGACGCCACAAAAGATCCGCCTTCACTCGGCCAGCCGCCGGCCATTCGGCGTTCATCACCGCCCGATGGTAGAGGCCGTACGTCACAGCGTTCTGCTCAAGCCCGGCGCGGCGCATCGCGTGGAGCACCAGCACGGCCAGATGGGGTTCTCCGCATTGTCCGCACAGCTCGATGAGTATCCGGTAGCACACCTGGTCCAACGGGATCACCTCGGTGGCCTCCAGTCGGGCAAGGACCTAAAAAAGGATTTTCAGGCTTCAAAAAATCTTACGTGAAAAGCCAGCCTCAACGTTTTCCGCTTATTCTTCGCCAGCGCCAACATCGAGGGCAGCTGCATGAACCAGAGGGAATACGCGTAGAAGACCAGGATCCGGGGCCAGTATAGCTAAAGTCGGATCATCAACGGTAGCTAGCTTTTCTCACTTTTTGGGTCCTGACCCCGTTCGAAGCCATGAGAAGCGATGAGCGGACTTCGTGCTTCGTACGCACGGCTGCGCATCTGAATTTTAGGCGTCAATTCGATCGATTAAAACGATGCGCACCTCCCGAATTCCTTTTCCACCGGAATTTGCAGCGGCTCGGTGTTCTGCTCAATGTTCAGCTTGTCAAGCTGGAACAGCGTTGGGTCGAGTTGGCGCGGGAATTCGGTGCTGAAAAAAATAAAGGTCGTGTCTATTTTTCTAACTATTTGAAGCTGCGCTCCGTGCCGTCCGGGTTGAGCAGCGGCTCGGGCGGCGGGATGAAGACGGTGTTCGAGGTCAAAGAGGCGTCCATTTCGAGGAGGGCACCAATTTCGCCGCCGGAGATATCTAAAAGCGGCGGTTGGGCGAAAAAGATAAGTCGGCCTGGGAAAGTGGATCTTTTTCGTTAACGGGGGTTTAGCCGGCCGCCAACGAGCTCCTCTTATCCGCTCTAACCTCTTATTGTAAAAAACCTATGCTATTTTCATAGTGTTTTTAGGAGTTTCTGATAACTAAAAAACCACAAAAACCTTTTTTATATTAATCTTGCGGCCAAAAATTACATTTTTATGATCCTTTATCCGGCATAAAACTAAATTTTCACCTGCCAACATCATCTTCTGAATGCAGTCGTCGAAAAACGCGTTGTAGGCCGACTTGTCGGAGACGAATGAGCGCTCCTCGATGAAGCGGATGAACGACTGGGTGGAGCAGAAGCGCCGGTAGAAATCTTGCTTCTCCTTGTCACGCGTGCGCAGAAAGGCCTCGACATCGAACAGGTTGCCGGTGTCCGTGGCCGATTTGCTGGACGGGGCGGAGACGATGGGGCGCAGGAAGGATTGGTAGCCCGTCATCAGCGATGCCATGAACCTGAAAAAAAATATAACTTTTGAAAGAAATAAGCCAAATTTTCGGAGCTTTCGAATATTTTATTAAAAATCACGATACTTTCAAATATGATACCGAACACCCACTTCAAACACGCCTCCTGGATCCCAATCTCAATTTGCTTCTTTTTCATCTGGAGTTGCTGCTCGACGTCGGTGCGTACAAAGTCTCCCTTTTGCAGCTGGCTGAGGTTGAAGTCTTGCTTTTGAATCCTAAAACATCAGGGTTTTTAAAGAATCAAATTTCGTACAGCTTGTTAAGCTCGTCCAACGAGGCGCGCAACTTCTTCAACGGCTTTTTCGGGACCATCGAGAGCTTGATCTCGTGGCGCGTCTTGCTGCCGCTGATCGTCTGCGTGTCCAGGTCGAAGCAGGTGACGTCGACGGGCGGGTCTTCGTAGAGGTCAAAGTACCTGAGAGGGGAAAGATTCTTAGGGTACTGTTAGTTTTGGTACCTGGAATCGACCCCGGCGATGAACGGGAGAGGAGCGTGGAGGACGCCAGCCAAGCTGAGCGGGCACTGCGGCACGTATGGACACTGCCAATGGAAGGGGAACATCAGCGTGCACACGGTTTCCGCCACCGCCGTCAGAAGCCACGGCCTGAAACGACGGAATAACAAAATTGACATGGCTTACATTTTGTAGAGACCAAATTTCTAATGTGTTCTAATCAAGCGAACACGAAGCTTTATTTTTAAGTGAACTGTCAGAATTCCTTACCTCAACGAGTGTATCAAAATCTTCTGCTCCAGCAGCGCCAGCAAAAAGAGGTACAACGTGTTCTCGACGCCGAGGCTCTAAAAAACACAACATTTCTCGGAAAATCGCTGTAATGGATACCTTTAGCGCCTCGAACAGAGCGGCTCCATACTGAGGCAGCTGCTGCTCGTCCTGGGCCTCAAATGTAACCATTTCCGCGCCGAGCTGCATCAAAACACGCGGTCTTCGCAGGGTGGGGAACGAGACTTCGTACATCTAAAAAAATCGATAAACTTTCTATAAAAGTTTTGTATATTCATTTCCAGAAAAAACGTACCATATGCGAAATATACCGCTCAATGGGCACGGAGTGTATCGTATTACTTGCGCGGGCCATCCGATGGATGTAAAACAAGAAGCGCTTGAAGGGATGGAAGAACGGGTAGCGCGAGACGATGCATATTGACAGGTTCGTGTGGAAGGCAAACTAAAAGTGCTATATTTCCAGTATCTCGAATTTTAATACCTGCTCAGCCGGGTCATTTGCCGATGCCGTATCGTCCATCGCACCGCCAACCTCCTCGTTTTCCGGAATTTCGACCTGTAAAAAAAATTAAACATAAGAAAATCAAAAGTTACCCCGAGTTTGTCCCGCTGCTCCGGACTCAAATCCCCGGTGTATTTCTCGTAGAAGGTCACGGAAGCGCCGTAGTATTTTTGATTCATCTAAATTTACTCTAAATTAATCGAAATCGATAAAACCTCGTCAGTGAGCACAAACGTTGAATATTGACGCTCGGGAGTTTGACATTTGTCTGCAGAAAAATTAGTTTTAAAATGGTGATTACAACTTACTCGACCAACATTCAATTAATGCTCCCATAGGCAGGCAAAACAGGGGCACGTTTTCCAGCAAATTCCGCTCACCGTCTTCTTCTAAAGAAAATGAAAAAGTCATAAGAAACCCTCACCATCGTCTGTAGGCGCCTTTTTCGGGAAGTAATCGAGAATGGCGGGCTTGTAGGCTAACCGCTTTGCTGAGCCCAACGATTTCTTATAGCAAATGTAGACCTCGGAGCCGACAAAACCCTAAAAACAGGTAATTTGATTGTCATGGCTTTATCTACTTGCCTTGTTCAAATTTTTCGGGATCTTGTAGTAGGTGTGAGGTGGGATTTCGCCCTTGCTGGCAATGATCACAGAAATGTGCGTGACGACCAACTGGCTGGGCGCGCTGTTGGCCGGGGCCCGACGGTAGGTGAGGAAGATGCCCTAGAAGAAATGGATGTACGAAAAACTTCGCTTACATTAGAGGAATTATTGACGTTTGCCGTGCGGCCGAATGGTGTGGTCAAAACGGTTGTCGAGTCGACCATCGGCTTCTCCCCACGTCCTAAATGTTTCATTTGCAATATTTTTTTAGAAAGTTGGTCGATAAAGCTTTTTCATTTACCAACCTTTGTCTAGCACGCCAATGTCGATCAATGGCGGCTTATGATAGCCCCTTCGGAAACACAGGAAACATGAAGCGCCTCGCAAAAAAGACCCGTGGTTCAGATCGGCACGGTAGGCTAGAGGAGTCGAGTGGATCATCTCAAACCCGTCGGGAACCTAAAAAGGCCCATATTTTCCAGCATTACAAATCTGGCGTACCGTCTCCCCTTGATCCGGGAAAATGACGCAAATGTCGGTGATCGGCGCCAGCGGTTCCGTGTTTCTCCGCCCACATTCTTGTGCGGTCGGTCTGATGTGTTCGGCATCTTTCTGAACGAGGCTTGATGGTTTCTAAGTGTCACAGACCTTTAATCCTGCGATAACAAAGTGTTCAAAAATCCGGCGCTCGTCGCGCCGCTTGGCAGTCGCCATGGAAGAAAGACTGCCGGTGTTCGGGGACTATACCGGGTCCTGAAACAAAACGTATTAAATGAAAGCAGGAAAACGGAAAGAGAAGAACGGAATCACCGAGAGAAATTGAATATTAAAATACCGGTTTTTCCGGTGTCATTGTTTTTTTTTCAGGATTCCACAGAAAGCATCTCGGACCCCCGGATGTGCTGCCAACGCGCAAAAAAATGCAATCTTTTAAACAAAATAAGAATATTAGAGCAAAGTAGGCCCATCTATCTATCCAGAAAAAATCATAGCGCATGGCCCGCATGTTGGGCAGCGGACGCGGGCCACCTGGTCAAATTGACCCCGTTACCTCGGGGATGGGGGTGCTTACGACGGGCCGCTGGCTCTAAATGGGGCTACGCTCAGAAGCAAGCGCAACAGCATGCCTGTCATATGTTGCTAGCAGCATCTTAGCCATATTAGTTATTACGCCCCCCAATATTCGATTTGACTGGCTACTTCGAAAAGCTAGATCCTGCACAACATGCCAGTCCACACGTTCCCCCATAACTTTTCTTAGCTAAAAAATGCCAGGGAGCGACGAAAAGCCCATCGAACTTGCACATTAGTATGCCTCATAAGCTGTTTGTCGACCCGTCCAGCCATCGGGTGTGACTAAAAAGAATTGGGCGCATGCGAGGCGTCTGGGGGGAGTAGCCCGCTGGAATGTTGACCAACAAGGCCGCCGTGGACAACAACTGAAAGAGCGGCCGCCACCCTTTGAGCCCCCACAGCCTCTAACACTATTCTCGATGTAATCAATCCGCCTATACATGCATTTTGTTACAGCGGTCGTTGAACCATCTCAGAGATCCAATAGACTCGAAAAGCATTTATAGGAAAAGTCTCTTAAATCACAAGTGGAAGATGGTGGTACATAAATAAATGGGTTATTTTTGGTGCCGTTGAGATCAGTCGGTTGGAGGAGATTTGCTAAAAAAAGATAATAACAAAAGCTAAAAGGCCATCCACCTCGCCAATCGCTCCTTTATATTTTCGGCTAGCTGCTTGACGACTCGGGTGTTCTGCTCGTTTACGGTTTTATTTTCCTGAAACCGGGATGAATTTTGGCTGTAAGGAAACAATGTACCCCGATTCGTTCATCAAGTGCTTCAATTTCTTCTTGTAAGCGGGCACAGTATGCTTCTTTACACTTCATCTGGATGCCCAGCGTGTCGAACCTCGGGTCCTAAAAGAAAGAAAGCAATTTGAAAAAGAAAGACGTCGTACCCCGACCGGGCGATAGCCTTGGGCATCAGCTCCGTGTCTCTCGATAGCTTCTTCCCTGATGTCTGCAAGGCGAGCAATCTTCGCTTCAATCTGTAAAAGGGGATCATATTAAAAAAATAGCAGGTTCTAAAAATATTTAGCTAACGCCAATCCCATCGCTCAAACGTGGGAACAAGTCAGAATGCCGAAAGTCGAATTCACGATTCTTCATTCCTTTTTATTTTTCGAAAAAAGAGCGGAATTTTCATTGCGAGAAAAACATAGAAATTCCTTTCAACCTCTGAAAACTCTCGAAATGGAGCATCGACAGAAAATTTAGCTGTTACTCTGGCTGACTAGGCACTGCATGCCATAATTTTGCATATCGCCGTTCCGACTAAAAATTAAGATCCAAAATCCAAAATTCACCTCTTCGCCGCTGCACGTTTTCGAAAAGTCGTCCATGACGCCGGTCAAAAACTGTTGCAAATGGCGCTCGCGAATTTCGCCGGCGGTCTTCTTGTCGACCTTACATCCTAGATCGGGAATTTCAAAGGAATAAGAATCGCATACCGTTCGATTTGCTCAGCCGCTGCAGATCTTTTGACTTGAACGCCTCGTCCGCTATCTGGAAAAAGGATAAAGTTTTATAAAGAGAAAACATACTTTGTAGCATAGTATCCGGAAACTTTCTTGTAGGTTGTCCATGGAGGCGGGCGGACCTGCAAAGAAAATACAATAAAGAAACTAGAGAACATCATAATAAACGTAGAATAGAAAGGAATAATTTTTTGAAAAAATGTATTGCCGTTTTTAGTCTTTGGAAGCTCCGATAGCTTTGAAAAGGGGTGGTTCGTGCGCTATCGCGCGTGCATAGTAGCTTGTCGGAACGCCCCCGGCCGCCGGGTACCGAAAAAAAAATCCCGACAATGTTTCGAGCGTTTTAAGTACAGCCGTGCCACAGCCGTTTCGAGTGTATGGAAGGGCGACGCAGGAAAATTCTGCCTCTCCTCTCCCCTCTTCTATCCGCTGTACCGCTGTACCGTGTACTAATTGCCTTTCGAAGAAAAGCTCTCGAATAACAAAAATGCTGGACAAAATTAAATTAACAAAAAAACCGAAGCTGTTGCTGCCATTGCTCCAAATATTTTTCCGCACTAAAATCGACCGATCAACCGTTGATCAGTCTTTTTTTTGCGAGGGGAATCCAGAGGAGAATCTGGGGGGGGTTTTTGGTCTTTTTTTTGCGATGATTCACGTCATGTCATGCTAATCAAAAATGCAAAGGTAAAGAAAGCGGACAAAACGCTTTTTCATAGTTGAGAACCCCTCGCTCCAGCGAGCCCGAGCTTGGGATGAAAGTTTTGGGTGATCTGGAAAGGTTTCAGTTGTTTTTCGATCGTTTCCATCAAGGAAATGACATTATAGAGGGTGTCGTTGCACATAAAGTCATAAAGGGCGTCCGTTTCAGTTTCCGGAAAGTTTGTCTGAAATGGTAAGCGTCCAGCGACACCCGTAAATTTTTTGAGCATCGTGAGGCAGTTATTTGGTAGATTTCTTCTAAAGTTTTAGCAGGTCGTGCAGCCCCTAAAACTCGATTGAAACCCGCGACGATGGGGGATTGATGCGGGATACGCAACAGCAACATCTGAATGAAGGATCGATCAAAAGCTCAAGACACGAAGATCTCGGAAAACGATGTTGATTACCATTTCGAGATTCTAGCGGACCTTCGAGCCGGACGACTTTTTCCGTGAGCTTCACTATTTTCAGACGCGCAGATCCTTCCCCCCCCTTGAGTTTGGCACGCCTGCCATGCAAGCGGGGCGTGTGAACGAGATAATGGCAGGATTGGTGTGCGTGCACGTGTGTGTGTTTGTCTGTGAGGTGAGGTGGGCGTAATCGTTGCCTGGCTGTTTCTCCGCCCCCCGTCTCACCCTTTCTTCCTCACCTCTTGATACCCACCAATTCGAACAGCTGGCCCGCGCCCGGTTTTTACCTGCCACCAACTCTATGTCTTCGAAACCACTTTGTTTTCTTTTCGAAATACTGTGGCCTGTCTTTCCGGTCTATGTCGGTCTATGAGCGCCGTAGATAAATCTTAATATTTAGAATTTTTTTATTAGCGGGCTCGTTTTTAATTTTTTTTTTTTTTTTTTTTTTTTTTTTTTTTTATTTTTTTTTTTTTAAAAAAAATATAAAAATTAAAAAAAATAAATTTTTAATTAATTTTTTTAAATTTATATTAAAATAAAAAATAAAAAATAAATTTTTAAAATTTTTTTATTATTAAAAAAAAAAAATTTAAAATTAAAAAAAAAAAATTTTTAAAATTATAATTTTAATTAAAAAAAAAAAAAAAAAATAAAAAAATTTAAAAATAAATTAAAAAATTTAAAATATTTTTTTTAAAATTTTTTTTTTTAGCTTCAAGATGGCAAGCCATCGACACTCCTCTTGTTTGCAGACTCCTAGCCATTTTGTCGTATCGCCGATTTGAATGCCAATTCGACGACGTGATTCACGCGTCTACGCCGAGCCCAAAACTGCCGTCGCACGGCGGGGGATGTTTCGGGGTGCAAAATATCGGGCTTTTCGATTTTGAGCTGCCGACTTAGGCTGGAATTGTAAAATTCTACTTTAGTCGGTTTCTTTCATGTGACTTTCAGGGTCAGTCGATTTTTTTGGTATCGATCAACTTTGGGGAAGGATTTTCAAGGGTTTTTGACCAACACCTTTCCCAGAAAACAAGCTTTTTATCCGGTCGAACCGTCTATTAGTATCCGTATAGCGGGTGACTATTTTTTTACCTTCTCACCGCCCATATCTCAGCAAGTATTATCTCGGCGATGATCGCCGTATTATCCGGGCCGCGCACCCATCCGGATTTATCGCCCCCGGAGACGATTCGCCGTCTATTACTTACCGTCGTTTGGCTAGCAATCGATTGTCCAATCGACTTTTAATGTATACATTTTTTTTTGGAAACGGCTTGGCCTTCGCAACTTGGCCTTTCAATCTCCTTTTTCTTTCTCGCAAGAAAACGCGTTTTCAAATTCTATTCCCTCATTTTCAGGCTCCATGCCCCTGGGTCAAATACAGCAACAAGAAATGCCACGCGACGACTCGTTTCGGACGAAAAAACAGGAACAATGGGCCCGCGAAAAGGGTTGGTTTTTCATGTTTATTTTGTTGAGTTTTTTGCCCACCCGCTTCCCGAGCCTAATGACCCCTATCAATATCGGCGCTGTGATTTGCCATCCTCAAAAAAAGGTCCGGGGCACACAAATACCTTCTTATCGCCCGGCGGCTTTATGTCCCTGGCTGCGCCCCGCGGCATTCGGAACCGGTTCACGAGCTTTTTTAGCGCCGGGTTATGGGTTCGAAGGGCACGACACGGGGTGGTTTTGTGATGGATGTACGAGTGTTGCTTAAATGCGTAGATTTTAGTGTTTAGGGTATATTTTTTAAAATACGGTTTCGAGGGATTTCTAGTAAACTGGCAAAATTGAAAAGCGCAGGGATACGACGCTATTGAAATTTTTTAAAGCTTTTTTTTCACTGTCCCCTGCTCAAGATTTCTGGTTCTTTCGCATGATTGGGGTGATCAACTTTTTCCCTAGGATTCCAGAAATTCCCAGCAACATAATAGTCGGCGTTTTAATAGTGTGATTAGCGAAATTTAACTAGATTTTAAGTCGAGAAAACAATAAAAACCTGGAAAGCGTGGTTAGTTGAAATTTTGGTTGCAAATCGGCCATTTTTCGTCCCATAATCGATATTTTTTGCAGTTTTTAATAAAAGTTTGTAACGTTTTTACTTTTAGGGATAGTAAAAAACGGTTTAAAAGCACCTCCTCTCTTTTTATATCATAAAAAAGTTATCTAGAAAAAATTGATCCCCCCGAAACTGCGGTAGAACCAGATTTCTACAACATCAGCGTTCCGTGTGTAGTTGGGATAATCAGGCTTTTTTAGATTTTTACAATTGCTTCGCTAGTTCCTGTTTTAAAGCGTATGTTTCAGCCAGCCCTGAAGCGCGTAAAACTTCTACTCCCCACACATCAAGTTCAACCCCGAAAAAAACGCTATAAAGTGTCGGCGCCTCTCTTCGTCGCAATTTGACACCTTCACCCCTGTTTATGCGCTAGGCGGCTCTTTTTCGCAAGGGCGCACCTCGCACAGGTCGCTGCGTTGAGGAGCAAGCACGGCACTCGAGCTGCGGCTTGCTAGCGGCTTATCGGGCCTGTAATCTGCAATATGCCCTTGTGCGAGATTGGGCTCATAATTTTTTGGGGCATGGGTTAGGGCGTTGATGGGCCAGAAAAAAAAGTGGGAAAACAAGCCTAATGAAATTCTTCTGGGATATTGAAAGTGAAATTGAAACTGAGGATGGTGGGAACGCCAGAAACGTGTGGATACTCTAATTCGGCGGAAAACAGAGGGATATCCTGAGCTGTTTGAAGGCGCGGTTAATGAGTTTATAGCTAGTGCTACTCACGATACGCAACGCGCATGACGGCTGGCCAGTTCATAATGGATTACGACCCGCACACGTTGACCAAGCCGTGTGCGCGTTGCGTATCGCGGGCGAGCCGAAATGATATATGTAATACATAGACAACAAATCTAGGCTCTGTATTACCCACTCCCTCAAAAATTGTCTGTTTTTCAAACTTTAAAATTTACCTTTTTTTCAGAGAGCGAACAGCCCGAATGGTTCCCCTTCGTCGGCAACGAAAGCCCCGGCTGCGGTAACCCGAATCGCCGCCATGAAGCACGCGATTACTGTGCGTAATTTTTTGCAGCGTTTTTAGTCCATTTTGGTGCTGGGCTCTTATCGAGGGAGGATGGGGAGTTAATCAGCAAGTTCACTATAAAAAACCTGATTTTTTGCATGATAATAGACATTTTAGTCGTCGATACAGGCTAAAAATGGGCACACACCACCCCCCCCCCCTCCCGCTAACGGCCCAGTACAGTGTTTGGAGCTCCTTTGCATTTTTTGAGAGTTGAATTTTTTCAGCCCATCACCCGGTCGCCTCGTCATCGCGCGAGCCCAGCCGAACCCCGGAGGTATATATTGATCCTCTTTTCTTTTTTTTTTGCGCAAAACGGCTGAATCGTGCCCTTCTCGCGTTCCACTCACCGGCTTTGATCTCCGCGCGCGTCCCATATAGGCATCAACCTGCGGCTGAACCTCCCGCAGGCGGTCAAGCGTGAGATGGGCATTTGGGCGCGGTTACCCCCTCCGTCCGCTCTCGGCCCTGAAGCGCTTGTTATTGTTGGCTGGGTACACACATACACAAGCGATGGCCGCTTGGAGTAGAGGGACAATAGGGCGGCACCTGTCGGTTTCCGTCTAGGGCGCGTAGCTTATGGTTGGGTAGCCGGAACTTAGCGATTGGAATTTTATGGTTGTTTTTGTCTTTTCCGAGAGTTTCTCGAGTCTAGTACCGTGCTTTCGCATTATCGGGGGGGGGGGACTTTGTGATTAGGATCAAATTTTTTTATATAAAAAAAAGTAGGTTTTTTTGAGCTCCCTTTTTTTTTTTTTTTTTTTAAAAAAAAAAAAAAAAAAATTAAATTTTTTTAAAAAAAAGGAGGGTTTTTTTTTTTTTAAAAATTTTTTAAAATTTTAAATTTTTTTGTGTTTTTTTTTTTTTTTTCTTCCTTTGGGGTGGTCTCCTCCCCACCCCCAAAAAAAAAAAATATTTTTTTTTTTTTTTTTTTTTTTTTTTTTTCTCTCCCCCGTAATCTAACAAAGACCGCCTTGAAATTTTTGTGAAAATTAATCCAGTGACTTCGGCTTTCCAAAAAGACAGTCCGAAAAATTTTTTGCTGAGCGTGTTTTTTCCCACTCCCCAACCACCCGCCTTGTCTCGGTTCCGTTTACCTTTCCGGTGCAACCGCGCGCGCAGAATTGGAGCCCCCTATGACCTCGCCGTGACTCTGAAAATTTCCCTAAACTTTTTGAAGGCCCGGGATCACCGGCAAGGTCAACCCTCGCCCCTGTCACCTATCAATAGCGTCTAGCCCCTTCCCGAATCGCCGTGAAGGCCCGAAATGGCTTGCCATTTGCATGCCGTGCTCTCTCTCTCTCTCTCTCTCTCTCTCTGCTGCTGCTCCATTTCTGGCGCTCAGGGAGCCTCGCCGCCAAGGGGATACACATTTAGGATGGGGACCTGTTCCCCTAGCCTGGGGCATCTAATCTTCCATACGCCCTGGTAGGGGGAACCGTATGGCACAGCGGGTGGCGCTGGTGTGCCCCCGGGCGATCAGTATGCTAATCGAATAGGCAGCGAAAGTGGATCGGGGAATAGAAAGTCCCTGGATATTCTGACTGTTTAGGGGTTGTTTTTGGAGTTTAGACGTAGGGATTACTGTAGAAAAGTAGTCACCAATTTCAAATTTGTTTTCGCGTGGGACGCGATCAGTCTCTACTATACCACTCGAAGTCGCGATATCATTAATTTTTGAGCCCAACGCCGATTGGGTAAGAACAGCCTCCCCGCAAGCAATTGGCACTCATATGGCTAATAGCCCGAGGGGGCATCCCGCTAGGCTGGTGCCCGCAGAATTGGCCGTCTGGTGTCAGGGTACGAGCCTAATCGGGGCCACCCTATTGATTTAAGGGTTTGGTTTGGGATGCCTGGGGTTATAAGAGCTGCCAAAATAAATATTGCCACGATTAAGGCGGATGTTAAGCAGTAAAAAGGCTCTGTTAAACGTACGCAACCATTTTTGGCCTTTTCTCTTCTAGTTCTTCTACTTCTTCTACTTTCTCTAATAGGACGCTTTTTACGAAATTTGCTAGAATTTGAGGTTTTCGAAAAAACTTTTAGCAAACGCGAAACACAAGAGCGCTTTGAACAGAAAAAAGCTTAACACAGTTTTCGTCGTCGGTAACAGAATTTTTGTCCAAATTCGCGTTAGTTTCAGCATGAAATCCTGACTTTACGACATCATCTTGGACACATACGCTGCACTTTCACGTCTCGTCCATGTTTCTAGCTCATTTTTGCCCCCGGCGTTTCCGTACCCCCAGGTGTTCCACGCAGCTGCACACTTTTTTATTTTCCCCGACACATCTGTAGCGATTTCCTCTGAAACCCCCGTTTCTTTTGTCGCTCGGTCCCCTAAATATTTTCCGACCGAACAATCTTTTTTTTTGCAAATTCCTTGCGTGTACTTGCCCAAAAAGGTCAGGCGGCGCACCAGCTTACACGTGTTATCTCCCCACTTTTTTGAGCCGACTTTTTCGTGCCGGGGATTTTTTGGGTGGGCCCCGGGTCAACCAAACGGTCGGCTAGATAAACCGGGTTTTTAGGGCGGGGTTAGAAGTTTTATGATGACGGCGCACGGTCGTAATTTTTGGTGAAGTTAATCGGGATGGTAGAGCCAAAAAAACTGGTTTTCTAGGAGGTAGGATGCTATACGGAAAAACTGGTACGATTTTTAAGTTGTAGTGGCCGGGGCTTTTCGTAGTTTCGTTTGATGGCTGCTGAAATGAGCTCCTCATCATGATTTGAGTGCAAACACTTGATTTGCATTCGCCGGGTTTGTTGGTGCTTACCCAGCGCGGTCATGCGATGCTCCCCAATAATACCCTTTTCACGCTTTTGCGGCGAGTGGCTGTGACCCCTCTGAGAAGTCCATGAATTGGGGGACATAATGTTCTTTAGTATTTCCGAACGGAAGAATCATATTTCCTGGCCCTAAAGGAGAAAGAACGTTAAAAATGTGTTAATAATGCAGAAAAATCTCTTTTCAACCAAAATTTTGGTCTTTTAAATTATTTCTTCAATTTCTAAAGTTTTCTAAGCCGATTTTTGCATTTTGCAGTTAAATAAACGAAATGCTACTGAAGAGACTCCACGGAAATCTTTAAAAGACGCTTAAAATGCCTGCTTTACTCGCAAAATTTAGTAGGTGCACGAAGCCATACTAAATTCCGTTTTATTCGCTCCTAGATTTAGGTATCTGCCGATGTCACTGGTGTATTCAGACACTAAATTAGTCCTTAGGCTTATGGCTATCGTAAAAAATCGTAGATATCGTAGAAATTCATTAAAAAAAGCATTTCCGGCTTGCAAATTCCGTGCCCATTTCCCGAACGGCACCCTGCAAGTCAAGCTTGACTCATCCGGGTGCATCACCCCACCGTGCATGAGGCAGCACATCATTTCGGGCCACGAAACGAAACTACTACCGTTGCTCATCCCTGCTTTTTTCGTCGGGGGAAAACTCCGAAAAACATGAATATTCCGGAGGCGGCGGGCAAGGCGTGGCACAATGCGCTGAATGGCCGACGAGACGAGCAGGGGCTGCTGGCAAACGGTACAGCCGGTGTGTCCATCCATTGTTTACCGCGCGGTGCCTCTTCCGCCCCTTCCGCCTTGTATTGCCAAGACAGAGTCGATTGTGTGCCCGGCATGGAATCGGAATTATAGAAGGCAAATATTTGCCGTTACTTGTATGGGCAAAGTGTTGGTTCTTTGTTGCCGACAAGTCGACAGCAAGACGTTTACAATATTTTGCAAAATTAGACGTCCTTGAGAATGAATTAATGGGACGTGGTAACTCTTCTTCATGCGAATTCAATCCGTTCAATTCAACTCCCAATTGGGTATCCGTGAGAAAGGAAAATTCATTTTCGTTTGAAAAATTGGCAACATTCTTTTTTTCCTGTTTCTCGTAACGTAGCGTGGATTTTTTTTGTCGGTTTTATTATTTTTCTGGATTTTCGGCGGTAAAAATTTTCCAGCATCTGAGGCGTTCGGTTCTTTAGCCCTACATCGCGTAGTTGGCGATCATAAAATTGTTCAATTAACTCGGTTTTAGGAAACGCGAATTTAGAAAAAATTGAAAATGATAGAGTTCCAGAAAAATACATTAATCGAACGTTTTTTCGAACATTTTGCGAACCTGTTTTTGAACCTGCATCATTTAGATCTATGACTTTTCCAACCGGTTTATGGTCTCCTTATTATTGCGCCAATGGAGGAATGGTTTTTCAAAACATTAATTCCTTTTCCGTACATTCCTTGCTTTAGAGGAGTGTTTTAGTTTTTTACTTTAGCTCGAGAAGGTTTTAGTAACTCACTGGAGGACTGTTTTTAGCAACATTCTAACCTTTTTTACTCGGCAAATTTTCTCCGAGCAATTTTATGCCTTTTCCCCTCAAGCATGGTCCGCTGATCTCGAGAACCCCCGATTCTCGGCTCATTCCCACATTTCCCACCCGTTTCCCTGATATTCCATTCATCACAGCGTGCACCATCACATAACAAGAAGGACCGGGTCGAAATCCAGTCCCCCATGATCAGCAGCCCCGTAGCGTGCATGCAAGGCATGAGTGTCCATTTCTTTGGCGGCTTGCCCCCCCACGTCGTTGAGCCACTTTGCTCGTTTGTCTTTGGGCTGATTGTCGCGTGTACCGCTAGGCCGGGACAAACACACGCCACCTACGTGTGTGTATGTGCCTTGAACGTTTTTGGGTCCAAAAAGTTCCGTACCATCCGCTTTTTTTTTGCGCGATTTTTTGAACAGATTTTCCTGACTTTAGGCGTTGACGTTCTTCAAGGCTTCCGAGAAAGCTAGATTTTTTCGACGCAGCCTCGTTTTCTATAGAAATACCTGGCGTTTTTAGACATTGTTTTGTAGCTACTTGCTGAGCATAGAAATTATTGTAATGTTTGGAACGAGAATGAGTTTTTTTCCGGCTCAAAATGACCCAAATTGCCACTTTTTCAACATGTTTCTAATGTTTTTAAAACTTTGATCTTGATTGTAGGTAAAATTTACAAAAACATATTCAAACACTTTACTTTCGATAACTAGTTCAACCTGGATTGCTGGGAAAAAGTAGCCGTACCAGTGGTATTTTGATAGTTGTTAATTCACCGTTGTATATTATTCTAAGGCCTCAAGTGATCTTGTAATTTTAGAGTTTGTAAGCTCGTCTTTTAATTTTTGATCTCGATTACTTGACTGACTGTACTTCTAAAACCGCCACCACCGTTTTTTCAACCACCCATCAATCATTCTCGCATTCAGGGACGTAGCGTAATACCGGCCCCGGGGGCCCGGCCCCCCCCCCGAAATCGGCCGGGCCCGAAAATTTCATAAGGGGGGACCCTTATGATTTTCATTTTCTCAAAAATTTTGCTGCCTGCGGCGCTATTTTTTCACGTTTCTACGGCTATTTGTAGAGCTATGTAACCTCTTTTTCCAAAATTTTTGCCTGCGGCGCTATTTTCTCGATCATCTTTTGAGTTTCTTGGAAAAATTTTTTGGGGCCCCCCCGAAATTTTTTTCTGGCTACGCCCTGCTCGCCTTACATAAGTGCCCAATTGTCGCACGCTCGCCGATTTACAGCTACTTGTAAATCCCTGAAACGCAGCCGGCGCGACGCCAGGGAAATCCCCAATGTCATCCCCAGCCAGAAGCCGTCCATCGCTCCACCTTATCTGGGGCTTCCCCAGATGCGGAAATTGTATTTTTTTTCGCAGCTGACAGCCGAAGCAGTTCTCCGGCTGATAGTAGCACTTTTTGTGAAACGGTCTGTCGTAAATGTCTGGCCAAACGGCTGGGGGGCTACCGTTTTATGGGTGAAGCTGTGGGGTGGATGAAAAGGTAAAGCTGATTTTCGGTGTTTTGTACTTTAAAAGGAGCTGTAGCTAAAAAATTGTTAGCGCCTGTTAAAACTAGTTTAACTTAACTTATGTCACGGAGTTGGTAAAAATCTTACTGGACGTAGCTTTTCGTAAAAAGGGACTGGGCCAAAAAACCATTCCAAAATTTTGCCGGTGCTCCCTTTTTTAAAAGGGTACTTTTTCACGAGTTCAGCTCACTACGTTAATACTGGCCTCATCATTCTGAAATCTATGACTCAAAAAGCGCACTGTTTGTTGACTTTTTGATACTGAACTCCATATCCGGTTGTCAGGCTGGACGGCATAAACTTTCATGACTCTCGGTACGCTTTGAGCTTTGGAAAGTTGGTAGCGGCATACTTTTGATAGGTAAAACAAGATAAGCTAAATCGGATGAAGAAAAGAATGATTTTTCTAACAGCTATGTTGACATGCCGCCACCTTACATGATTTGTCGAGCTCATCGAGTGCGGCTTTTTCCGGCGAACAGCTGCGGCTGCCATCGCTGGCATTTTTTGGGCTTTTTGGGCCTTGAGTGGTGTCCCTGTTTTATTGGGTCGAATGCATGCAGAGGGGATTGTTTGGCCACGCTTCTCTTGGCAGACTGACTGGTTAGCTTGGGCAAAGTTGTCTTCCTTTTAGAGCGATTTTGAAGCTCCAATATAGCACGAGGAAAAATTTCCAGTTGCTTGAATTTTCTAGGCTAAAGAGAAAGTCCTCCTTTACCTTAAAAAATGCTTTTCTTATTTTACCTTGATGCATCTTTACGAATTCTTTTGTTCCGCTCTCTACCGTCTTTAACTTTATAATTTTATCTAGACACTTTTAGAGTTTTTCTTGTTGTTGCCAACTTGGCCCCATTGTTCCCGCGGGTTGCAGGCTGCACGACGGCTATCTAACCCCGAGGTTTACGACCCCCGATTAGCACACCAGAAACCGGGCGCGCGTGACCTCCCTTCCGTTTCTGAAAATTCGTGGATTTTTTTGCTGGGGGAATGGCTCCTAAAAATTGCTATTTTTCAGCCACCCCAACCGGCTCAACCGGCGGCATCGACAGTGGCATCGGCATCGATGGCGGAGTCGTCGACGAGTCGCCTGAGCACGGCCGACCCTGAAAAGGTACAGAGAATTATCTTTATCTTTTGGAAAAGCCCGATAGTCTGTTAGAAAAGTGATGTTTAAGCGTCTACATTTAAAAAGTTTACCTGAATTTCTAGGACGCCCGCAACGTGTTCCCAGCTCCGTATGGCCATCCCTACGGGTACCCGATGCCCTACGGATATCCAATGATGCCCCCGGAATTTTGGCAGGTGAGGCAGACCAGCGGTCAAGAAAAATAGTTTTCTCTGGGAAAAACAATTTATGTACCTATTTTGAAAATTAAATCACTCTAGAAATTCTTTTCGAACTTGGAAGAATTACGAGCATTACTAGATGCCATAGCTAACCATTGTTAGAGTTACGGAAATAGTTTTCTTTGAATTTGGAAAAAAGTTATCGTAAATAGAAAAATCTGGCCTTTTGAAAAAGTTGTTTTATTGAGAAAGACTTCTTTCCGCAAAAATACCGCCCGCCAGAAAAAGCAAATTTTCTAGTACTATTTGTATTTTTCAGGGCCATCAAAATCAACCGCTTCCGCTCGCCTACCCACCAATTCCCGTGCCGTTCCACATGATCCCACCGGGGGCCATCCCAATACCGGTGACAACAATTAGCTTTTCTGAAACTCATTCCCGTTTAGCCACCATCGATGACCTCATCCACCTCTGAAAACGGGCCCCCGCCAACACAGCAGCCCAACCAGGCGGCACCCGGGTATCCGCACGACTACTGGGCCCATTACTACAGTCAGATGGTAAAAACCCCCAATGCATCACGCTTTATCCCCGGTGATTTTCAGCCAATGTGGCGACCGGAGATGCTTCCTGGCGCCATCCCGACGGCAATGTCAATGTCTACAACGTCGACCGGGATTCCGGAAGCGCCCTCGGCGGCCGATTCTGGCAGGCGTCGCTTGGCTACGGCCGTCGTCTATCCGCTTGCCGCTACTTTGCCAACAACCGCGCTGATTTTGCCGGCCGAGAATGGGAAGGGTAGGTTGTTGGAGTTGAACTTCGCAAAATCGTTGATTTCGCAGAATTTTCTTTAGCAGAGTTTTGGTGAGACATGGCACTCTCATGTCTTTCAAAATGGACTGTTTGTTACCTAGAAGACTCCTTTTTGACAAGCTACTTTTATTTACGCCGCAGAGGAGGATGAAAGAAATTAAAAGGGAGATTTACAAACTAGGATCGCCAATTTTTACTCTGCACTTTCGTTTTTTTTTTACATTTTGGAAGTTATAAAAGAAATAAGAAACCCAATTGCTGGTAATAAACAGTAATCTGCGGTCGGCGAGACGAAAATCGGCGAAATTCGCGATTATCGCGTAAAATTACGACTTTTTTTGAAAAAAAACTTTGCAGGGAGCGGCCAGCCGTCTCCAGTGCAATGTAGCGCGCCTCAAACTACCGAGGGATCCAGGCCCAGAACCTCCACGTCTGACTCGAATCAGTGGGTTTTAATTAATTTAATTAAATTTGCTTGATCAAGCACAAGATCCGCCAGTTGACAAGATTTTCTGATAAATAAAATTTTATAAAATCCTTATTTTTGGAGTTTTATGAATATTGATCGTATTTTATTTTAGTCTTGACCCCCTCGTTTCAGGTCTGACGCCTACATCACCGAACAGGTCGAACTCCGACGGCGGCTCGAAAAAGAAGCCGAAGAGCAAGCCCGAGAAGAGGAGGAGCGCATTCGGGTGGGTTTTGACAACTTTTTGCACGTTCTGACGCCACATTGCTTTTGTTTGCCGGAAAATCCCCTGGAGCATGGCCTACCCTCCCTGCTGCTGCCAATAGGCTTATCCACCCCCGCCTTTTCAGCGTGACCGCGAGCGAAAGGAGCGCGAACAGCAGCAGTGGGAGGCGAAGCAAGAGGAGGCCAAACGCGAGCGCCTCCGGGACAAGGAACGCGCCGAGCTGCAGCTCCAACTCTCGATCGAAAAGGCGAAGAAGGAGGCCGAGCTGACGAAGCGTGTATGTGGCTTGAGGGGGTTTGAAGTCTACTGAATTTTAGGCCAAGCTTTACCGGCACGTCCTTGAAGGCAATCCGGAGCAAGAGCGGGCGTTGCTTGGTGAGGACGGCGAGAAATATCTCAAAGAGGTAATTTGCCTAGTTTTATTTATTTCTTATTGAATTTTGAAATAAAACCCGAATTTTTGATCTACTATTTTTCGTTCGTCCATCATTCTACAAAAATTATTTTTTTCTTCAGACTCAATTTTATTGACTTGCCATGTAAAAAGACTGAATTTTCGATCAAAGACTTTTACCATCACAAAATACCAAAAATACCTAAAAAAAATTCTACCAACATGTAATTAAAATTTTCTATCAAGTCTGCCTTTTCCGCATACTAAATTTTTTTTCCTTGTCCATTTTTCTTTCTAAATTACCTCATTTTTAGGTATCCCAAATGGAGCGCCAGCGCCACATCGACCTCGAGCAGCTCGCTCAAGCAAGGACACCGACGAAGAAAGATGCGGAAAAAGTATCGTTTTCAGAATTTTCAAAACATTGCCTTTTTCAGTCCGAGCGCAGCGCGCATTCCGATGATCGCCCCATCCGGCCGGCAACCAACCTGCGAGACCACTCGAGCGAGCCGATCAAGCGGAGCACAGCCACCCGCTCCTCGATGCGTGCCCCCTCCACCCAGAAGCGCCCATCGGTCGTGCGCAGGAGCAACAGCTCGGAGAGGTACTGGAGCGTTTCTATGACATCTGAACACGGACTTTCAGAAACTCTCGCCCGCCCAGCTCCTCGGCCACTGATGAGCCGTCGGCTCGTCCCGTTCGCCCCTCGATTCTGAAGAAGCCTCCGCTTGCTGCGCCGGCGCGTGTCGAGCCGCCACCTCCACCGCGAGCGGAACTTCCGGAGCCGGTCATTATGGCTGTCGAGGTGGAGGTGGAAGTCGAGGTGCCGACAACGTCAAGTGCGTTTTGGATGAATAAAGATGGCTGGTGTTCAAATCCGACTGTTCTTCGTTCCATTGTAAACTTTTAAAACGCTTTTTTTGCGTCCCGGGCTTTAACAAAAAATGGACTTGATTTTTATGGAATTTGACGGTATTTATTACTTATTTTGACTCTTATATTTTTCCATTTTTCCATTATTTTTCTGGTCTTGTGAAAGCGGTCCGGCTGATCTCGCAGCACTAGTTTTGACCCGGATCGTGATGACCAAAAACGGCCCTCTTCAATATTTGAGCTTGGGCTCAAAAGTACGCTCTGGCTCGGCGGGGCGCGTGTTTTCTCAAGAAAAAATGGCTTTGGTCCGGATGGTCTTTATTGCAAAAAGACCGCTATTCATTCAGCGATCCAAAAATAAATATTCTATAAGTAAATAAATCTAGTTAATTTAAACAGTTATTTTTCAGCTCCCGCAGCTTCCCCGAAGAAGCCGACATCGCTCTCCAAGCTGCCCACCGCCTCCCCCGCGGGCTCTCCGCTCAACAGAACATTTACTCGATCGCAGAGGTATAAAAATTCATTTCAGGATGTAATCATTCTTTTTAAGCCTACCGAAGCCCGACTTCAGCCCGTTCTCCCCAATCGGCCAACCCGCCGAAGTCAAGCACTCGTCGAAAATTCGCCAACTTCCCGATCAGGTTCGTTTGTGTGGATCGTTTTCCCAAATTGGAGACGAAATTTCCTGGACGCCGATCGTCAACCTCGGCGACGGCTAAGCCCCTCCAAAATAGGCTTGTTGACCCGCAGCGAGCCCGAGACCCTAAGCCTTGTTTTCCCCAATCGGAACGCACAAAAAATTTCCCTCCACCTTCAGGGGACGGCGATTTTGTTGGGCGGCAGGAAAATATTTGCTGTGTTGCGCGCCGGTGACTTTTTTATGCCGTCCTGCTCCTTTCCTTATCTGAAGTTCGTTGAACCCCGGACCCGGCGAGGGGCTGATTCGAAACACGGGGATCCCTAGTTTTTTGGTTAGCGTAACCAGTCCTCTACCACTTTGGGCAAAAACCGGCGGGCGCTGGTCCCAAAAACGGTTCTGAGCGCTGGTCTAAGGGCTAGTAATGTCGCATTTTTTCGGCGCCTTCGGCGCCATTGATCACCCCCTGATTAAAGAAGGCCCCTACGTTATGTATTTTCGATGTGTTTGGATGTATTGTGAAATAAATATTTTTAATAAATTTTGTGTTGCATGTTATACCGCGAAGCAGTCTAATTAAACTGAAGAGGATGATGGCGAAAACCGATCGAAGAAAGTACATGGACGACAATTCCCCTAGAATTGATTCTTGCTAAACTTCCTATATATTCCTACAGTCTACAGACGTATATATTCCTTCCACGTCAACGTCAGCTTCTGATTCATTCCAAATTTTATTCGACGCTTCCGATGGATTTACGCTGCTGCCGATGACGTTCGCACTACAATTCTGGAATAAAGACGGCGGAATACTAAAAATATCACCACATCCCGACTAAACTTCTCGATTCTGCACCTGGAATTATTTTAATCTACCGGCTCAACTGAAAAGGCTACAAAAATTCAGAAATCGTTTGCTACTACTGTTACTAAATTCCAGAAAACATTTGGAGCCGTTTGGAGTATCGTTTCGGAATTCCTAACTCCGGAACCTAACGAAAATCAGTTAAATCCCGTACTCGGCGCTCCTCTGGACGATCGGCTCAAAAATCGTCCTCATGAATATCCATGGTACCGTACACCTTAGGTAAAAATATCTAAACGATCGGATTGGTTTAAGGTACCCTCCGGGACCAGCGAATGTTTACCTTAAAAATCATCGACTTTGGGCATTGGACATGTTTTGGTCCCCGTTGACCCCCTTAACCTGAACCGATCAGGACCAAATTTGGCCTCATGATACTACAGAGTCTGCTTTGTCGGATCCCACAGCTATTTGCCCCATTAGTCTCATAACCTCGGAGCTTGGGACCAGCGAATTTCGAATCTTTTGGGCGGACGTTTCGGTTTTTCCTGCCTAAGTCTCACATTTCGGATTTTCGTCGCCTCTCCTCTCTCATCCATAGAAAGCTTTTATTTCTCTTTATTTTCATATATAAATCATAAAATTCGGCCCCGACTACGCGGAGCTACGGACCGGCGACACTTTGGGCGGGGTCCCGTTTCACACTTTTATTAAGGGTTTGGCACCTAAAAATTCATAACTTTTCAGTTTCTGCATGGATCGTTCCCAAAGTCGTCCTCATGAATGTCCATGGTACCGTACACCTTAGGTAAAAATATCTAAGCGGTTGGAGCGATTTAAAGTACCCTTAGGGACCGCCGATACTTTGGGCATAACCCATTTGGCTCCTTTCACCTACCTTTCACGGACCCGAAGAGTGGCTTACAGAGCTCGGAACGTTTAGAAACCTGTACACATTGTATACGATAGCCTGCTAATCATGCTTAATAAATTTGGTGACGATAAAGCCAAGGACCGCAGCGATATGAATTTTGAGGTGCTAAACCCTTGATAAAGGTGTGAAAGGTAAACAGTCGCTGGTCCCGGAGGGTACCTTAAACGAATCGGATGGCTTAGATATTTTTACCTAAGGTGTACGGTACCATGGACATTCATGAGGACGACTTTGGGGGCGATCCATGCAGAAACTGAAAAGTTATGAATTTTTAGGTGCCAAACCCTTAATAAAAGTGTGAAACGGGACCCCGCCCAAAGTGTCGCCGGTCCGTAGCTCCGCGTAGTCGGGGCCGAATTTTATGATTTATATATGAAAATAAAGAGAAATAAAAGCTTTCTATGGATGAGAGAGGAGAGGCGACGAAAATCCGAAATGTGAGACTTAGGCAGGAAAAACCGAAACGTCCGCCCAAAAGATTCGAAATTCGCTGGTCCCAAGCTCCGAGGTTATGAGACTAATGGGGCAAATAGCTGTGGGATCCGACAAAGCAGACTCTGTAGTATCATGAGGCCAAATTTGGTCCTGATCGGTTCAGGTTAAGGGGGTCAACGGGGACCAAAACATGTCCAATGCCCAAAGTCGATGATTTTTAAGGTAAACATTCGCTGGTCCCGGAGGGTACCTTAAACCAATCCGATCGTTTAGATATTTTTACCTAAGGTGTACGGTACCATGGATATTCATGAGGACGATTTTTGAGCCGATCGTCCAGAGGAGCGCCGAGTACGGGATTTAACTGATTTTCGTTAGGTTCCGGAGTTAGGAATTCCGAAACGATACTCCAAACGGCTCCAAATGTTTTCTGGAATTTAGTAACAGTAGTAGCAAACGATTTCTGAATTTTTGTAGCCTTTTCAGTTGAGCCGGTAGATTAAAATAATTCCAGGTGCAGAATCGAGAAGTTTAGTCGGGATGTGGTGATATTTTTAGTATTCCGCCGTCTTTATTCCAGAATTGTAGTGCGAACGTCATCGGCAGCAGCGTAAATCCATCGGAAGCGTCGAATAAAATTTGGAATGAATCAGAAGCTGACGTTGACGTGGAAGGAATATATACGTCTGTAGACTGTAGGAATATATAGGAAGTTTAGCAAGAATCAATTCTAGGGAATTGTCGTCCATGTACTTTCTTCGATCGGTTTTCGCCATCATCCTCTTCAGTTTAATTAGACTGCTTCGCGGTATAACATGCAACACAAAATTTATTAAAAATATTTATTTCACAATACAGACGATCAATGTTATCGGAAGGACAGAAAAAGTACGGGTTTACATGCCATGATGATACATTTTCCTCATTTTTCTCCGAATTCTGATAGCTTTTCAAAAAAATTTGCGCCGCTCCCGCGGCGCTGGTCTAACCCCCAGTCAGCCGCCGCCTGGCGGCGGTCCATTTGGGCACTTTTTCAAATCTCTAGCACACTGAGCGTAACCAATTTCGGCTTACAAAGATTGTCATTTTGGTTGGTATTTTGGACTTTAGCGAGGTGACGTAGCTGATTCGATAGAGCTGGAAATTCTGCAAATGATGATATTTCTAAAATTGCTGAACGACCACGATCTTGGAGAAACTTTTCACTGAAACGGGTAATTTTCTCGATGTTCTTGACCGCATTCGACAAGAATCCGAACTTATTCAAATTGCTGTGCGACGACGATTTCCGAGAAAATTCACACTGAAAAGAGCGGTTTTAACGACTTTTTTGGCCGCGTCTGACAAAAATATTAGCTTTGAGAAACGATATTTCTCCAATGCGGTATCATTCAAGTTTTTACAAGTTAGGACTGGTACAGAATTTCCAGCTCTATCGGATGAGCTTGAAATTCACCTGCAAAACTGAAAACATTTACCTAAAAACAAAATCGCTGTTAGGAAATTTTCGAAAATACCCCTCCTCTAACTTTTTCTCCTATTCTCCTAGTTCTCTCACCGTTTCATGTCTTTTGTCGGCATTGCTGATTAGCCATTGAGACGCCGACGACACCAATGGGGCTGCCCAGAACTAGTCTGCTCCCCCCCGCCCCTGCACAGCCCTACGAGACCACAAAAAACTTGTTGCAATTTGTCGCTGGGCGGAGATTGCGGCAATGGGAAAACCTTCGATTGACATTTTGTTTTTATAGACAGATTTTGGTCTTGCCAAATTTGCTATCCCTCATTAATGCGCGAAGTTACGATTTAGAGTTTCTGGATGGCTTAATAAAAAATGATAACCTAGGAATTAATAGTTAAATTGGCGCTGTTTTCACCGCAATATAAACCTTTTTTATACTTTAACCTGGTTTAATACAAAGTTACTAGCAAAGCTAGTTGGTCTCCGTCGTACTCCTGCCCGCCCTAATTCATCCTCTCGTATTGAAGTATCGAAATTTGAGAATCTAAATGTTGATCATAGGAAAATATACACTTTCTATTAGTACGGTTTTAACCCCGTAATTTAAATATATTATTTTTGCGCTCGTTGCAGTGCATTTACACGTAAAAATAGTGTTTATCCATTTTCTCCACCGCAATTTTTAGCGTTTGACGCGTCCAAATTCCGCTGGAACTGGCCGTCTGAAAATATTTTCCCCAGTGCTCCTCAAATTTCCCTCA